AATTATGTATCAGTAGGTTTTATTTAATTCCATGTGACAGGAAACTGAATCAAAAGGGTTTAAGAATAAAAGGAAAGTGTTTAATGTATCTTAAAAAATCAATTATTTGATGGGTAAAGGGGAGTGGGAGATACTAGTTTCCAGTTATGGAATGAGTAAATCACAGGGATAAAAGGGTTGGTACAGCATAGGAAATGTAGTCAATTGTACTGTAATAGCATCGTATAGTGACACATGGTGCCAATACTTGTGAGCACAGCATAATTTATAGACTTGTTGAATCACTACGTTGTACACTTTAATGCAACATTGTGTGTCAGCTATAGTTCAATAAAAACATTTTAAAAAGTAGCCCACTTTTTGGCCTCTACTGCATCTTAACTGGGGACCGAACGATGTCACTTGACCTAGACTCTTTCTGTTTGATTCCGTTTGTTCATCATGCTCCTCTACGGTCAGATTTCATGCCTTCTCTTTGAGGTGGTTGTTCTAACTCCAGACATGGGTTGTTTCCCAATCAAATCCAATGGAAAAAGAACAAGAGATTCTGGGAAGTCCCAGCATGTTACTAATTCTGATTATGTCACATAAAAATTTCTGAACTTGCCTACAAATGGCCATAGCCAAGGGGACGGAATATGCTTATTTCTCTCAGTTTCCCTCCGGTAGAGCATCTCTGAATAAATCTCCAAATGGTGGTACCAGAAATAGGGTGAATTCATGTTTGACAGCAAATAGACAACCTAGGAAATGTTATCTGTCTACCCCATCTTCTCATCCAATTATTTTACATAATAAATCTATGCTATGTCCCATAGAAAACACAGTATCTTCTTCTTTCCCAAAGTAGGAACACTTAGTCTCATTCACCCTTATTGCATATAGCTGTAAGTCCAAAATACCTGCTCAGTGCACAGTCTGGTCAGACCCATCTCTAACTCTTCTTGGCCCAGAGAACTAATGCTAAATAAGTAGTAAGTTTAATAAATACCAAAACATCCAATACACATTTCCTTGCTAACCTGCCATTGTGGAAGGGATACAACATGCAACAGTTGCTGGTACATAACTCATCATATCTTGTACGACAGAGAAGGCAAAGACACCTCAATCTAGAAGTGAAATGTTGTTCCTTGGTCAACAAGTCTGTTTTTCTAGCTCTGCTCTCTAGAAAGATCTTTCTTTCATTGTTGAGAAGCAAATGATTAATGACAGGTTAATAAACCACTTCTTCCCAAGTGGGGATAATGGAGAAAGAATGACTTCTCTCTTCTTGCACACAGGATTCCCTATCTACAAAATAGGATATTTCTGATCCATCTATTTTTCTTATTATAGGAAAATCTGAGATTTATGGATTTTGCCTGTATCTGATATTTGTTTGTATCCTTTGAATTATTAGTAAAGTTTGATGTAAGGCCTATGATTTTAGTGGGTCTGCTTTGATAATTCAATCGACTAAGTTAACACAATTGTTTTCCATGACCATAACTGAGATGAATAATGTAATTCTTTTTTTTTTTTTTAAGATTTTTATTTATTTATTTGACAGAGAGAGACACAGTGAGAGAGGGAACACAAGCAGGGGGAGTGGGAGAGGGAGAAGCAGGCTTCCCGCAGAGCAGGGAGCCCGACACGGGGCTCGATCCCAGGACCCTGGGATCATGACCTGAGCCGAAGGCAGACGCTTAACGACTGAGCCACCCAGGCGCCCCGAGATGAATAATGTAATTCTTTATCAGTGTACTTTGTTTAACCTCAAGTTCTGGAGCATGATGATTATTCTCAGTCTTGAGCCTCTTGTTTGTATAGAATGAGATTTCTCAAATAGTAAAATTTATTTAAATTCTTGGGTATACTTTTAATCTATTTTCACTCACTCTGTATCATTGGGTAGTAAACAAAGAGATATGAAGAATCAGTGTTTAAATCTGAAAATCACTCTTGAATTTCCTGTCTTCTAGAAATTGACTATGGCCACTATTTGGCTTTAATTATGTCTTCATAAAAAATATATATATATATATATATGTTTAAGTCCTAACTCCTAGTACCTCAGAATGTGACCTTATTTGTAATTAGGGCTATTATAGATGTAGTAAGTTAAGATGAGGTCATAATAGAGTAGAGTGGGCCTTAAATCCAGTATTACTGGTCTCCTTATAAGAGGAGGGGAGAAGACAGAAACACAGAGAGAATGCCATATGAATGAAGGCAGAGTAAAGTGATACATTTACAAGCCAAAGAACATAAAATAATTGTTGACAACTGCCAGAAGCTATAAAGTCATGGAACAGATTCTCTTCCAGTACTCCCAGAAGGAACCAACACTGCTAACACCCTGATTTTAGACTTCCAGCCCAGATTCTCTTCCAGTGCTCCCAGAAGTAACCAACACTGCTAACACCCTGATTTTAGGCTTCCAGCCTCCAGAACTGTGAGATAATAAATTTCTGTTTTAAGCCATCCAAGTTTGTGGTACTTTCTTATAGCAGTCCTAGGACATTTATAGAGCCACAATGTACTACCAATCACTTTAGTCCTGAGCTGAATGGTTTTGTTTTTTGGTTGGTTTTTTGTTTTGTTTTTTTGTATCTGTTCCCCTGAACTGCATATTCTCAATGGGAGTAATTCATCCCCTTCTTGGACAATGACTGCTTAAATGGAAGTATGTGGGAGTGGCCTGAGATACAAGAATTTTTTCTCAACTAACATTCTTGCTAAGTCTCCCACCTCTGATTTTGCTTGAGTCAATGGTAGACTGGGGCAAAAAACCTGGCTTTTCCAACCCAATTAACTATACCTGCAGCTATCTCAGATTTCAGACTGCAAGTAAAGGATCCTTATACAAAACAATTTTCTGATTTGTTTTCAGATGGAACAGATCCAACTTAAAACTTTCTCATCCTTATTTGACCTTACTGAAGGCTCTACCATGCTGAATTTTTCAAAACAAATTCCCTTGTCCTGTTGCCTTCTTCAGCACAAGACACACAGTGGACAATTTAACCAGTTATTTTGCTTATACTTAATCAAAACTGTTTTAAAGTCTGGGATTGAGAGACGCATGCTGCCCTTCATGAGCTTGGCGACTACATACAAAGTATAGTTCCTTTCAAAAGTTGGCACAACCACTCAAATTTGGTTCAAGCTGCTTCCACTTTGTTTACTTTATTGTCTTTCCAGATGTAGCTTGACCAGGTCTCTAATTAGAATAATACCCACCCACTGTGCCCTCATTTTTTGCTTCTATGATCTGCTACTCTATCCTGGCTCTATGCTCATAGAGGATCTCTCCTTACGGTGAGAAAATGGTTGCCACAATGTAAAACTTACATTCTTTCTCATTTTAAGTCAGTGAAGTGTTAGCAAAATCATGGGTCATTTCATGGGCTTTGATTTGGTTACATTCTCATTCCTAAATGAATCACAGTAGATGGATTAATACCAAGTGGTTAATGATAGGTCTAAGCCCTATGCTCTGGCCTCCACACCTCCAAAAACAAATGAGCTAATTATGAGGAAAGACTAAATCCCCAAATGACCATTAGTAAAAGTGGAGTAAATTGAATATAGACAGTCAGAAAATGTGCATTACAAATAGAATTAAAACATTTTTATTGATTTGTATTTGAAAAATACATAATGCCTACAGGAGAAAATAAAAATCACTGGTCCAGATAAATTGCATTTGTATGCCCATCAACCAAAGAATGGATAAAGACCACAGTATATCCATATAATGTAATACTACTTGGTAATAAACTGTTGTTTAATGAAACTAAAAATAATTATTCTGAGTGTGTCTTAGTTTGGGTTGCTATAACAAAATGTTACAGTCTGGGTGGCTTAAACAATAGACATTTCTGATAGTTCTGGAGGCTGAGAAGTCCAAGAACAAAGTGCCAGAGGTACTCTCTCACAGTGAGAACTCTCCCCCTGGCATGCAGATGGCCACCTCATAAGGTGGGGAGAGAGAGAGCTCTGATCTCTTTTCCTCTTCTTATAAAAACACTAATCCCATCCTGGGGGCCCCACTGTTAATAACCTTATCTAAACCTAAATACCCCCAAGGGCTCCACCTCTGAATATCATATTAAGGGTTAGGACTTCAACATATGAATGGGGGGTAGGCACATTTAGTCCATTGCAGAGTGAAAAGCCAGACAAATAATGTATGATGCCATTATATAAAATTGTAGAAAAGGTAAACTAATCTATAGAGGCAGAAAGCACATCAGTGGTTTTAGGGACAGGGCTGGAAAGGAGTGGTGGGACTGGAGGGATTACAAACGGCATGACGAAATTCTGGTAAGTGTGTATGTTCACTATCACGATTATGGTAATGGTTTCACAGGTGTATATGTGTGTCAATTTAACACATTGTACACTTTAAATATGAGTTCATTATGTCAATTATATCTCAATAAAGCTGTTTTAAAAATATTCTATTGGACATTCTTCCAGTCATCTGTATTTGATAGTTATCACTAAATTATGATTGTAGAATTCTTTTGTATATGTTTTACCTGTGCCCCTGAACTGCATAAATTTTTATTGTATTTTTCCATTTCCTTAAATACATCTTTTAATATTATACTTTTTTGAAGTTTATTATATACATCTAGAAAAAGGCATATATCCTGAATTGCCAAAAACTGAACCTATCTGTGCAAATATAACCCAGATCAAGAAAGAGAATACCAGAACACAGATGCCCACCTTCACATTCCTTTCCAATAAACATCCTATTTCCTTTCCTAGGGTAACCACTGTCATCACTTTAATAGCACAAATTCATCTTGCCAGTTTTTGAGCTTCATATTAAGAATTGTAACAGTAGTATCTTTTGTGTTTGGCTTTATCCAATAGTATATTTGTGAGATCCATCCATGTTGCTTCATGTAGTAGTGGTTAATGCATATTCATTATATATTCATAACATTTCATTGTATGACTATAACAAATATCTTGTCTATTTTTCATGAGTATTTTGAAGGTTTTTTTTTTTTTTTTTTTAAAGATTTTATTTATTTATTTGAGAGAGAGAGCACAAGCCAGGAGGGGGAGGGGAGGCAGAGGGAGAAGCAGACTCCCCCCTGAGCAGGGAGCCCGATGCGGGGCTCAATCCTAGGACCCTGGGATCACGACCTGAGCCAAAGGCAGACGCTTAACCAACTGAGCCACCCAGGTGCCCCAATTTCATGAGTATTTTGATTACTTCAAGGTTGGGGCTTACACAATTAACCCTAAGAACATTCTTATATCTTTTAGTGCACCTGTAGATGTATTTCTTTTGTCAATAAACCTCAGAGTGCAATTACTGGGCCATGAATATTTCCATCACCCTAAAAAGTTCCTTTGGCTTCCTTTATTCCTGCAAAGATATCCATAGTAGATTAGTCTGTTCTGGGAGTTCATATAAATGAAATCATATATAGTGTACTCTTTTGTGCATGCTTCTTTTTGCTCAAAAGTACATTTTTTTTTAATTGCTGAAGAGTATTTCATTGCTTGAATATATCACAATTTATCCATTTATATGCTTATGAGCATTTGGGTTGTTTCCAGTCTGTGTTCCGTGAATAAAGCTGCTATGAATATTTGCATTCTTATCAAAGAGTATAGTCTTGGAATTTACTTAGGTTTCCTTTATGGTCTGATATATAGAGTATTTTTGTGAATATTCCTTATGTGCTAGGAAATAATGCATATTGTGTGAAGTGAAATCTATATAAATTTAATACTTCCAAGGTTATTTAGGTCTTCAGGTTTTTTCTCTGCTTGATCCATTATTCTCTCAGAGGATTTTGTTAAAATCTCCAGTTATAATTTCTGATTTATCTATTTCCCTGTACTATTTGTTGTTGCTTATTTTTAGGTTGTATCGTTGACACATATTTATGATGGGACGTCTCTTCTGGGGTGCCTGTGTGGCTCAGTTGGTTAAGCATCTGCTTTCGGCTCAGGTCATGATCCCAGGGTCTTGGGATAGAGCCCTGCATTGGGCTCCCTGCTCATTGGGGAACCTGTTTCTCTCTCTCCCTCTGCTGCTCCCCCTGCTTGTGCTCTCTGTAAAATAAATAAAATCTTAAAAAAAAAAAAAAAAAGATGGACATCTCTTCTTATTCTAGTATTCCTTTTACTAGTATTCATCATTCATTTTCCCTTTTCTTTTGGCATGAACTGTTTTTTCATGTATTAAAATTGCTACCCAGGATTGCTTAAGACTTTCTGACTTACTTTGACTTTTCTATTTACAAGTGTTTCATAGACAATGTTTTTGGACCTTATATTTATAATTCAAAATAAGTAAGTATTATATAAAACTTAATTGAATATAACTAAAACATAAAAAATTGAACTCTAAGAGCTTGTTAGGTTTATTTTACATTCATTTTAACTACTGCTATATATTAGTCCTTTAATCTTTTAAGATTTCATTTACTTGAAAGAGAGCAATTGACAGAATGAGTAGGAGGAGGGGCAGAGTGAGAAGCAGACTCCCCGCTGAGCAGGGAGCCTAATGTGGGACTTGATCCCAGATCAGTACATTAGATGTATTAAATAACAGTATTTTCAACTTACAATGGGTTTATTGGTATGTAATTCCATTGTAAATCAAACAAGATCTGTATACTCAATGCCCAGGAATTAACTTTACAGATAGCAGAATTGGACTTATGCCCAATAGTGTTGACAGTTTGATTACTCTGATTTCACTCCCAAAAGGCAGTTACCTGGCCTGCCAGTGCCCATCAAAAACAGGACTCTGGTCAGAAGTGGCCTTCTTGCAGTTACAAAGCCTTTTTGTGGTCTCTCTCAATTCTTTGCTTAGATAGGCAGAATGGTGGAGAAACTCTACATCCCTCAAATAACTCCCACCGTACTGCTTGCAACTTACAAAGAAAGAGATGCACTTGAGTTAACTGTTGAGATGACTAACAAGATCTACCACCTATCATTTGTAGTTTAGTTTGGATTAATCAGATGACGTCCCTAATACCAGAAACTAAAGCAATGGGGGAAGGAAGGAGTAAAGAAGACTTGAGTTTTAACCATGAAAATCTTTAAGAAAGGGCAAACTAGAATGGTTTGGTGAGGAGTATTCTGCTTAAGGTAAAAATTGAAGTTATCAGGTTCTTATAGAATAAAAATACTATTTGAGGGGTGCCGGGGTGGCTCAGTTGGTTAAGTGTCTGCCTTCGGCTCAGGTCATGATCCCAGGGTCCTGGGATTGAGCCCCACGTCAGGGTCCCTGCTCAGTGGGGAGTCTGCTTCTCCCGCTCCCTCTGCCGCTCCCCCTGCTTGTGTTCTCTCTCTCTCAAATAAATAAAATCTTTAAAAAAAATACTACTTGATTGGAAATATGCTATCCATTGGTATAGTCACAGAAATGTTAGTCATGAAGAAAGGAGATTCCAAAGGACATGAATTTACCTGAGATCAAGTCTTCAGAGACTTTTAGGCATTAATATTTTATCTTATGCTACCTCCCTGATGGCAGTGAATAGCAAAAGAACAAGGTACTATAGATTTAAGGTGTCTGAGTTCTCATTTCTGCATTTTAATAATTATATTCGATTTATAAATTTAATATTCAATAAATAGATTTTATTTTAGGCTATCTATATACCTATTGGCTTAGATGGCTAAGGAACAAGCATTAATATTAAATATCTAATAATCTGTTTGCTATATGACCATCATTGACATTATCTCTGCTAACACATTTAAAAGCAAATCATATGCATCAAATGCAAGCCTAAGCCTTATGATTACATTAATGATTAACATCTATTATTTACTACTTACCAAAGCCCTATGATTAGATTAATAATTAACATCTCTCATTTACTATATACCAAGAACTATTCTAAACAATTTAAATATATTAATATATTTAATATAAATATATTTTCCATTTGCTGAATTTATTTAAACAAATCAACTCAGAAAAGTCAGAGTTAAACAAAACTTCTGACATGTAAACATACTGCCATGTTCTGAAACAGATGTTAATACCTGATAAAAGCTAATAATCACTTGTTAGGAAAGCTGTCCATTAATAAGGTCAGTCTTCAGCAAAACTAAAACCATTCTGTTTTTTTTCTTTCAGTTTTCCAATCTGACAATGAAATATTACCAAATCACAATCAAAATAAAGACAACACTGGATGGACAGATCAGTACTACAGCTTGGTTATAGCTGTAAACCATTTCATTCTTGGTGCCACATGAAAAAAAAATTAAGCCAATAACATCAAATAAATCATGGCTTTTGTTTATCACAATTTACTAAGTGATGTTAATGAAGGTCCTTGTCAAACATGTTTGATAAAGGCTATTTACAATGTACATGGTTGAGCATGCACTATTTATAGTTACAAAGATACCTGCCAGCTTATACAGTAGGATATATTGTGTGTGTGTGTATATAATATATATTATATACATATACAATATATACAATTGTGTGTGCGTATATATATATATACACACACACAATAGGATACACACACACACACACACCAAGGAATTATAGGTTAAATAATTCCCCTAAGCTACACTAGTAAGGGTGGAACCAGGATTTGAATCCAGACAGATACGTAACTTAGACTCCTAATTATTTCACTACAGTGACTTCTACTTATGTGTATAAAATTCCATGTTTGAATTTAATTGTCTCATTTTCTTTAGTTTCTGTCACTTAAGGATTAAAAATGTATCACTGTTGGAACTAATTTAACACATGCCTTTCTCAGATCATTGCTAATAAAACTATCCACCAGCTCTTCTGCCTTTAGGAGGCAGAAATCTCTTGACACACTATTTTACTTTTCATTTGAACACTAAAAGGCAATTCAAGTGAAGGTTTTAAAAGTATCAATTTTATACTGAATATTTAGAAATATGGTACACACAGACACGACAGTAATATAAAATGCATATAATTTTAAACTATTTTCTTATAAACCCTTAACATGGATGGCTGACAGCTCCTAACAGACAAAATTTTGGACAAAGGTACCAGATATTTTGGGGGGTTCATTTTAAATACCATTTAGTCATGCAAATAATTAGGTTTTTTAAAAAATAAATATGACAAATATATGGATTTCTGAAGTAGAAACTGACATACAAATCTATATATTTTCATAATAGTTTTCATTAAAGCATCTTCAAAGAAGTATTCTGTAACATGAAGTTGAGAGCTCAAATTAGATGTAATGAAAAGGCATGAGGTTTTATTAGAATTGTGTAATTCACATACTAAATATTTACATAAAAGTAAACACAAAATTGCAAACATAATTGTTTTATCCTCTGAGTCATTAGCTTCATGAAATTACTTACTGGGATAATTTCAAGATAAAATTCCTAATTCTGAATGTTAATAACGAAATCCATATAGGAGCAGTAAGAGAAAAATTTAATTCTTCCTTCTGAGAAGTAGTGAAAAAGTAATATAATTGCCCCTTGGGGATTGTCAAAGCTTTTCTAGAACTCCTAGGGAATAGATTCTTTTGCAAACAGTGAGAACCAAAACTACATCCCTTTACCAGCACACAAAGCAATAATATGCTTTCTTTTCCAAACATACAGATGCTCACAACTCTGAACTGTAGGTTAGTGAGCTGGGTTAAAATGTCCCTACCATTCACCTCCCCCAAAAGGCAGTTCCAAGGCGGAGGGAAAAATCTATTACCTTTTTTCATTTGAACAGCTTGAATAAAATTTCTACTATGAGTTTAAAGAGAATAATCAATTTCACATAAACAAGCTTGATGGTACTTAAGGTAAAATAAATACTAGTTATCAGAAGAGCATATTCATTAAAACATCAAAACTTACTGGTTTATGATAGTAATTTAAAAAGTTAGTATAGGAGAGATAAGAGGATTTCCTTGAACTAATTCAGAGCAGTGATCATTAACCCTGACTACAAATTAGAATCACTCTGAGAACTTTAAGAAAATGGACACATGGCTCCCTTCCTAAGAAATTCAGATTAAATTATTGTGGGTTGGGGTCAATATTAAAGAGTCCTCCAGATGATTCTAATATGAAGTGAGGGTTGAGGAACATTAATTTGGAAAAATTACTAATCAGGGTGGATTTAAATAAAATATTTAAAATTCAAATATGAGCACTTCCTACATGATAGGCATTGTTCTAAGTGCAAATAAGGAGCAATTCTTTTTTCTATAAAAGTCATTGGATAACAATATATTTTTTATCTTTTGAATAGTTACATAATTTTATTAAAATACTACTCAAAGTTTATTACGATCTGCTGTCACGAAAGATTCCCTTCTACTTTTCTGATTTATCTTCACTTGATAGTATAACAGAAGAGATCAAACTCAGAAACTTTTTCTCAAGATATGTGGACAGAACCTAAGATTAACATAGATTTCGTTTTTCAAGTCATAGTATATGAGGTATTCTCCATCTTATATCTGGAGTCACAAAGCCGTAATTTAAAAACTGAAACTGGATATTGCTTTAATGCTGAACAGAATCTCTAAATCAAAAATGAACTATGATTGGTGTCAGTGCTTGATTTAAATTGCCTAAAAAATAATTTATGGCACAACCTCAGGGAACCTAGTACGAGTGGGTCTTTAATGTAGACCATGTTTCCTTGTGACCTATTTATAAAATATTTCTTTATAAAAACTTACAGTAATATGATTTTTCAAATATACATAATTAGAAATTAGTTAAAGGAACAGAAATACAGTTTTTGAAATTCTGCATAATTAGAAATTAGTTACTATCCCAGGATGATAGCTTGAGCTTTAACATTTTAAATTAAAACCAACTTATCAGGTATTATAAAACTCATCTGAAATGTATTTTAACTAAAAAAAAGTCAGAGATAAATTAATAAGTTTATGTCTACCCTTCAACTTAACAGTTTTCAGGTTTAAATTTGCTAAAACCAACTGACTATTAATCCTATACAAGGCTAATTACCTTTTATAGCTGGGGAGCAGGCCAAAATGATGAAATTTTGGTTGAATTGTAATATATGCATATATAGGAAAATGTAATAGAAATTTGTTTTCCATAGTTGATGGAATTTAAACAGCTTTAAAATTTTTATGAAAGCTCAGTAGTCAAAATAAATATTTAATAAAAATATACACCATAGGAAGATAACAAGAACTTAGTGTTTAAAAATAAACTTTGTCATATTGTTTTGCCTTCAGTTAAACAGAACTCAATTTAGTTGCTTAAGGTATCTAAGAATGATTAAGGTGTGTTTCTGGAACAATTAAAATTCAAATAACACTAGAGAAATAACACTAAGATGAAAGAGAAACTATGTTTTAACTCAAAGGTTTAAAGTTATAGTTACTGGGACTTTTCAGTATGACTAAGATCCTAATAAACATGAATAGTTTGGGGAGTAAAAATTCAAAGATAGTCATGATTATGTGGTTCATGCTGTGGAACTCTCAGCATGTAAAAAAATACAAATACAGTATATATGAGCACCATTAGAAATGTGCGTTGTGTATATGTATCTTTATACTTAAAACTTTACCTGATTAAAAGCTGCATTTCAGAGTAAAGTTAAGGACAAAGCACACAATTATGAAAATACATTCTTAAGCTAACATGTCATAAGACTTATTTTAAGAAGTTTCATCTGGCTTTCCTTCTAAAAATCAACAAAAGAATACAATATAAAGGAAGCCAGTATTCTTTTGTAGTGCAAAGTCCCTCGGTTAAACAGAAATTACCAAAGAAAAAAGAATGTGTTCATAAGCGTTTTCAATCCATAATCAGATTCCAACAGAAGGTAATGAAGTCAACTAATAAATGCAAATTCATAGAATAAACCAGCATATGTTGAATTTGCCCACAAGGGACTATCATTCAGGCTTCAGATTATTTTTAATTGAGAGTAGTCAAGATTACTCTGCAGAAGAAATCTTCCTTCCGTATAAAAGATATAAATTTGCAAACTGTAATTTAATATTTCTGCCATAGTCACCAAAACTCAGAAAACTGTCATATCTTATACAATACATACCCTGGGGTAAGATAGGTCTTTAATGAAAATCGCATTTTGATCCTATGTAGAGGCAGCTCATGATAGACTGTTACGTGTATACGTGCTATTTTTCAAAGCTCCCAGAATAAGCAATCACATAAGATAGACTGAACTTCTTTGAGGACATTGTGACATGATAAATAATGCTATTCACCATTTAAAATACGTTCAATCTCTTCTAGTCTTTTTAAAGCAGCAACTCTTTTCTTCTCAATTTCTTTGATTTCCTTTGTTGTTTTGTGGGGGGTCTCTTTGTCTGTATTTTTTCCTAATAGTTTATTGGATTTAGATTGACTTTTATTATCACTTGGTTTTATGATCTGTGTAGGTCTAGGTTCACTTCTTACTTCTTTTACATTTTCAGTTGGAATTTTGTCTCCTTCTACACCTGAAGTCTTACCAGCTGGGGATACTGGCTGTTCTGCAAAACCAGATGAGGAAATTTTATCCCTGACTATATTCAAATGGCGTTGAATATATTCTTCATGTGGTGCTAATGCCAATGTTTCAACCAGGCATCTTTCAGCTTTTAGTAAGTCCTTCTCTTCAAAATAAACAACACAAAGATTGTGTTTTCCTTGCACATTACTTGGATCCATCTCCAAAATTTTTTCAAAACATTTTTTTGCTCCAAGTATATCTTTCTTTTGATTCATCAGAATGTCTCCCTTTAAGATAAGACCCTTGATATGATCAGGATAGTGTCTGAGTAACTCTTCCAAAATTGGCAAAGCCATTAATTCCTTTGCTGTCTGAGAATACAGGAGAGCCAAATTAAACAAAGCACTTCTGAAATCGGCTTGTAATTTTATGGCTTTCTTCATCCACATCTCTGCTTCACTGTCCTTTTTGTCATCCATGGCAAGCATTCCCAGATTGAAATAACCATTAGCATCTTGTGGCTCTTCATTTATATAGCTTAGAAGTCGTTTTCTAGCTTCTGGTCTGAGTTTAACCTCACCTAAGAATAATTTTTTTTAAAAGAAAAAAACATATTGTTAACAAATGAATTAAGTCTGAGGAACAAAAGCCACTTTCAGTATTTATCTAGTTAGATTAGAAAAAGACAGCATCAAAACAACTAATCTCTGTACCTAAATCAAAAAGTAGAAAGCAAAAAACTCAAAGTTTTCACAGGAAAGACAGTGTGCTTGAAACACTGAAATGATAGCTCATTTCCTTTCCTTTAAGACAGCAAGAGTGCCTCAAAAACCTGAAGGGGCAAAATATCTCTTTATAGTTTAGAATCAAACTGGGAGTAGAGGAAGATTATGCAGTTAAGAGGAACAGGCACTGGATTTGCCTACAATGACATGTATTCAATCTTTTTTTTTTTTTTAAGATTTTATTTATTTATTTGACAGAGAGAGACACAGCGAGAGAGGGAACACAAGCAGGGGGAGTGGGAGAGGGAGAAGCAGGCTCCCTGCAGAGCAGGGAGCCCGATGCAGGACTCGATCCCAGGATCCTGGGATCATGACCTGAACTGAAGGCAGTCGCTTAACCAACTGAGCCACCCAGGCACCCCGACATGTATTCAATCTTGATTCTGTTAACACTATGACTACTCATTAAACAAACCATTTAACTTCTCTGGGTTAGCCTGCTATATTTTCTTTTTTCTTTTTCTTTTAAGATTTTATTTATTTGCTGAGAGAGAAAGAGAGAGTGCACATGTGTGTGCGCAAATAGGGAGAGCCCGATGCGGGGCTCAATCCCAGGATCCTGGGATCATGACCTGAGCCTAAGGCAGACACTTAACGACTGAGCCACCCAGGGGCTCCAGCCTGATGAATTTTCTAAGAATTACATGAGACATATGTAAACAAGCTCAGGAAACAGTAACTATTATTGGATAAACAAAATGCTTCAGTCTTACAAAATGAGATTATCTTATATATTACTTCAAATTTTTAGACTTTCAAAGGTAAAAAAAATATACCATTAAACATAAAGCTTATATATTTAAATATAAATTAGGATTCCAGAAACAAATATTTGAGATAATTTCTATTGCAAATAAATACAAAAAAACTCAAGTTCCACAACTACAAATCTTAGGGTACAATCTTGTGTTGAAAAATGGGCATTTTTCATGATTACCAAGGTTAGCTAAATACAAAAATATTAGCCTTTCTCTAAATTTAGGTTTTGAATACCAGCCATAAAGATCTCCTGTTCTTTTGACAATAAGATGAATAAAAAAAAATTATAAAATATATCAGTAGGCTTAAGTTCTTATCTTTAACTAGTTATTAAACTAGCTACGTGAAATTTGGTGTAGTTATTAGATCTATTTGATCCTTAATATACAAATAGAAGACCGGCAAAAGTAAACTCAAATACTACGATTTTATGATTTTTTTTTTTTTTTTTTGTAAAAGGTTTTAAAAAGTATCTAAAATTTAACTACAAAATGTAAATGTAGGACGCCTGGGTGGCTCAGTTGGTTAAGTGACTGCCTTCGGCTCAGGTCATGATCGTGGAGTCCCAGGATCAAGTCCCACATCGGGCTCCCTGCTCAGCAGGGAGTCTGCTTCTCCCTCTGACCCTCCTCCCTCTCGTGCTCTCTCTCATTCTCTCTCTCGCAAAAAAAAAAAAAAAAAAAAAAAAAATTTAATAAAAAAAATGTAAATGTAGATTTTTTTTCAAACTAAAAATTAAGATTATAAATTATATATATCACCTTCTGTTGCAGTACTAAAATACCCATATATCAAAGATCCTAATTTATTGTCATGAATAATTTAGTTTTGTTAAATTACAGGAAATTACAACATCTCAGAAAATAAAACTAGATATAAAATGATACCAAAAGCACTTGGTCATACAAATCAAGAGAAAATACATTTTTTTCCTAAAACATATAATGCTCTTGTCTCCCCAGAAATAATTATATAAAAAATTTTGCAAGTTCTGATTATTTGGATATAGTATAATATATATATGTAAGAGATTATTTCTTTATATAAAATGACAAAATAGATTAAAAAGGCACTGCTTAATAGACTACCTGAAAAATAAGTCTTAACACATACCCAAAGAACTAACAATTGTGTTAGAGCATATTACTTGAAAATCATACTTCAAGTATATTAAATATTCTTAGAAATAATTTATGTACAGTTTTGATACAAACTATCCACTCATAAAACATTTGCCTCAGGTAATGTAAGTTCAGATTTTATTATATTTCAAACAATATGTTTAAATATAGAAACATTTTGGGAAAACATACCTGATTCTTGCATTAATATAGCAGAATTGAATAATGCTAGTTTATGCTTTGGATTTAGTTCTAAAGCACGATTAAAATTTTTTAGGGCTTCATTTGGTTCTTTAAGTTCAATATGAACAATTGCCAAGTTGTACCAAAGATCTGCATTATTTCTGTCCAGCTCTAGTGCTTTAAGATATGCTTCTTTTGCTTTGAGAGGTTTATTCATTTTTAAAAGCAATTCTCCTCTGCGGAAAAAAATCAAACACAAGCTTTACTCACATTACCATGTCAATTTGTAGACATTATTTTTCACAAGTTTTAAGCTTTCCCACATACTCACAGCTTTTTTTTTCCTTTTAACCCAAGCTTTTAGAGTTTTCCATCAAAAATAACTATCTGAATATGTCCTCAAACCTGAACTCATTAGTTTAGCAAATTTGGTTATGTTTTCAAATATTTATTAGAGAAAGACCTTTAAAGGGTAAGATATGAGGAGGCATCCAATAAAGGGGGTAGAGAAAATATATTCTTTATGTACATCTTGAAAGAAGGCAGACTAGACTAGATTACATCAGAAAAATGACATTAAAAGAATGAGAGATCAATTTTTCAAGAGACCAAGTAACAGCATTTGAAGAATGAATATAAATACAGTGGTGATGGGGAAATTCCAGTATGCAAATCTATGTTTTAAGTCTCATTTATAAAGAGCAGAACATTTGAAAAATTTTACCTTTTCTTACATAAATTCACTCTTCTACAATGTATTCTTATAAAATGGCCAGTCATTAAAACAAAACAAAAAATTCCCCAAAACAACAAAAAAAGAATTTAAAAAGCTAAAGATTGGGTAAGGGTTGGAGGGTACTTGTGCGACCAGCAGATACCCATGAAGAACACATCTGGAACTGAGGATCACAGTTTAAAAACCATTTTACAAACTTTTCTAATATGGTTCCATTTTCTGTTAGAAAGCTTACAAAAGTCATGTGCAAATCAATTTGAGAAGTGATAGGAGAGTTACTTTTATTATGATCCTATTATTTCCTTAAGTATTAGCATAGGAATGAAATCAAATGAACCACTAATATTCTCAATTAAAGCAACTTCTGGAATGTGCTTGTCCAAAATGCTTTTTTTTAAATGCAGATTACTGAATAATTCTTCATAGATTAACACATCACAGGTTTTATTTACATATGCAACCCCACTAAACTTAGCTAATTTCAACAACTACCGGATAAGGCTGAACAAACACAGCCTCCAACTTATGAACAGATTTTATCTCAAAAACTTACTGATTTCTGAATGCATTTTCCCCATAGGAGCAATATTATAAATTATGATTACGTTTTTGGCCAGGCTATAAAACGAAGTTTCACCTATAATTTTCCTCAAGTATACTACAAATGATAATCCTTACATGGGAAAATATATTAAGTTCTAACATGTGATGCCAAAAGTTTTTTTTTACTGACAACTAAAAAGTTTCTTTTTGGTAAAAAGCATCAATGAGTCAATTGTCATAAAGCTCTTGGGAGTTGGATATTAGAAGTAATTATCATAAAATGCAAGTTTCAGGTGTTTTAAGTAAAAATTAATGTGACCATAAGAAGCAAATGAAACTAAAAAGGAGTTTCTACCCTTTCTTTCGTATAAAACCTAAGTTTACCACTACATGTTACAGACTATTGCCAATTTCAAATCAAATCAATTAAATTTGATCATTAAGTCTAAACTAGGCTGTTTCTATATTCTTGGTTGCTAAGATTACTAAAAGAAAAAAAAGTCAATTTAGTTCAGATAGTCAAAATGTACTGCAGATGCAGCTTTAATTTTCTATGATAGCTTAAAGAGAACTACAATACCTGCTAATATAAGCCTGCTTGAAGTCAGGTCTCATGCTTATAGCTTGTCGGTACAGCTGATCTGCTTCTTCCAGCCGGGACTCATTTGCTCGAATAAGATTGGCCAGATTAATATAAACATTTAGGTGGTTAGGGGCAATTCTGGCTGCATATTTTTTACCAGGAATAATCTGTTCAGAAGAACATAATTTGATATTTCAGTACCAAATAAAATAAAAAATAAGTATTCCTAGTGGCTTACTTAAAATATACATGACATATAAAGGTTATGGTACTAGTTTTACTGCCAAATTAAAATAAGTCATAAAAATGTGAAAGCACCTACAGTATTTACAAAATGTAAATAAAATAATATTTTGTGGCATTAAAGGATATATTTTTCATTCATGCTAGCTCAACAGAATATTGTTAGATTTTATTTATTTGAATCATTTTATAAAGTCCTATAAATCTAAACTCTTGAGGCTAAAGTCTGTTAATATATTTGCATCAGACCCAGAACAGAAAGAACTCAGGTCTCCTTCCCTTCAGTCTAGTGTATTTGTTACACCATGTCAACTTCCATGCTGTCAGCAAAATATTTCCTGGTTGTGACAACAGGGTGGTTAATTTTATTCAGAGTTATACTAAAGCCTCACTTGTCTGGTAGAGTTAGGAAATAAAATGCTCTTATTAACTGATTATTCAGGTTAAGCAAAGGTTATAAAATATATATAGACCCAAATTTTCAGTGAAAATAATAAACTGTGTCTGATAAATTTTATATTGAACACAATTTAACTTTAGAATCTTATGACTGAAATAGTGCTTAAGATATCATGTGGTCCAACTTTGTTTTTAAGACATTTATCAAACTACATCCACTCATTTTAATATTATCATTATTATTAATACAATATTAAGATATACTACCATGGAGAAAACTGTAGTGCAGGATAAACTATCTTTTCTGATGAAGCTGGTCAAGGCCAAGATCTGGCTTTCCAACTTCCAGGCTATACTGTAATATCACTTGATCTTAGCCAAAAGGCCGAGAAGCGATTATACTGTAATATCCAATGAATCTTGTGTATGTGTCACTGTAACAACTGAACACCATACAGCAACAGAGATGTATCCATTCATTTTATTACTTTGTTTTATTCATTTATCTTTTGAGAGGAATAATGCTGAATTTAGTGCTTAATATACATATATAAAATTCTCTTTAAAGTCATTTAGTTCATTGATAACTTCTAATCAAGGATATCTAAAATTCATAACTTTATAAACTTTTTAAACATATTCTACAGAAAATTTTTTTAATTGACTTAGAAAAGTAAATGTAATCCTTTATAAAACTTGTAGTATTATGCTAAGTGAAGTAAGTCAGAGAAAGACGAATACCGTATGATCTCACTCGTATGTGGAATTTAAGAAACAAAACAAATTAGCAAAGGGAAAAAAAAAAGAAAGACAAACCAAGAAACAGACTCTTAAATATAGAGAACAAACGGCTACCAAAGGGGAGGCTGGGGGGAGAGATGGGTGAAATAGGCATTGGGGATTAAGAAGTGCACTTGTATTTAAGTGTTGAATCACTGTATTATACACCTGAAACTAAATATTACAGTGTTAACTGGAACTTAAATAAAAACTTAAAAAAAACCCTTGTAGTAATAAATGGTTTATTGGATACTTTACTTTTATGTCAACAAATTAAAGATAAGGATTTTCCATCTAGGTAATTCTATTCAGTGTGGACATACAGTGGATATAACACCATAAGAATAAATTATGACAACTTACTTGGGGCATCAGTGACTTAGCCATCATGTAAGATTCTTCAGCTTCTTTGGTTCTATTTAAATTTTTGTAAGTTCTTCCTACATTCATGTGGGCACCAATATCATCTAAAATTAAAAAAAAATCATTTGTTGGCAAATATACTAAATAGTACTCAATGTAAACTACATGTTTCTAGCAACAAAACCACCAAGCAAAAAATGCAAAAGCAGTCAACAGATCCTGCATACTCTTTAAAGTTCTTTTAAACACAATTTATTATAATTTATGATCAATGCTACCCTAGAAAATTATTTAATACCGTAAGGACAGAAAATACACATATGACATGAAAAAAACTATTTTAATAGATCCTTGAAAGGCTAAGACATGACAAGAGATATAGAGGTAATAAAGAAATTTGTATCATTTCTCTTCACTAGATTTTACTATACTATATTATGGTTTGCTTCCATTTCCTTGATTGCATAGCTCTGGAATTCACTCAAAAAGTATGGCTCAACTCTAAAAGTGAAAAGATCTACAAGTGAAAAAGATCATCATGATTCCTAGAACTATTTCCAGTGTTGTAACTAACAAATATGCACCATGGTGGGACACAGGCAAAGGGACTGTAAAAAAAAAACCTGTGATTTTGTTTAAAATTTTTGTGAATGTGGATGGAATGCAAGTATAATACCAGGATTCTCCAGAATTACTTAAGATGCAGCAGCCCATCTCTCTTAAATGATAAATCCTACGTATTTATGTGGTTTTTTTTAAACATTTATTTTTTTTTAACCTTTTAAAAAGGTTGTGTTACTATCAGTATGTCTAAAACTTCTGTGTAATTTTCTGATATGGAGAATCAAATTCTCAGCAAATTTTTTCAGGGACAGAAAAATACGCTATTTAAATAAGAAAGATGTTAGTATTCGGATTCATTGCACACTACTTTTAGGACACACTTCCTAGTAACTATTTCAAAGGTTTGGAACAAAGACAGAAAGATGGGAGATCTTAAATCAGATGAATTTTACTGAACATGCATGAATCTCTAACAGATAAGACACGATTACTACCTGCCTGTGACATCAAGGATTTTGCAACTATGAAATAATTCTCTGCCTGCAAATCCTAGGACACACAGGAGCCAAGCACGTGTATCTTAGGCATTGCCCTAGGAGGAGAGTAACAGTCCTAAGATCTTGCTACATTACGTTTCAGGCTGGTAATTGTGTGCACTGAACAGAAACTGTCACATGCAGTACAGGTTTGGTTAGAGAACTGAGACAAGCTTGGGAAGAAAGGGTTGATTTTTTTGTTGTTACTGATTTTTTGATTTTTGATTTGTTGAGTTTTTGTTGACGTATTGCTGAGTCTCATGGTGTTTCAGGAGGGGTCAAGAAAAAAAAAAAAAGAAAGGAGAAAAAAAATTGCTTAGGCAAACCATTCCCAATCTTAGCTGCAAATCCGGATACTTACGAATTTTAAAAATTCAGATAACCTTAGCGCCACCTAGCTCTAGCAAAATAGAATCCATAGAAATAGGACCTGCATAAGTGTTTTTAAAAAGTTTCAAAGGCAGTTCTGATGTAGAGCCAAGGCTGAAGTTCACTGTATTACCAAATGTGTAGAAAAAGAGTAGGTAGTCTTTGCTCTTACGTAGCTCATTTTTTTTTAACATTAGATAAATCTTTACCATTAATTATAGAGATCAGAAAGCTACTTAGATAAAACTAAGAACCTGAAAAAATTAATTATAAAGTAAGAAATTTAACCTAAGGAAAGAACAAAGAAATTGGAAGTTTAGGTAAAATTATCGGCGAAGTATTTAAAATGTCACTGATATCAGCCCCAACAAATCTTAGAAAAGAAAGAGGTTATCTACTTGGATGAAAGACAAGGCAAATTAATACCCACTGGAATCAGCTTCTTAAAATTTATTTATTTGAGAGAGAGAACACAAGCAGGGGGAGCAGCAGAGGGAGAGGGAGAAGCAGGCTCCCCGCTGAGCTGGGAGCCCAATGTGGGGCTCAATCCCAGCACCCTGGGATCATGACCTGAGCCGAAAGCAGATGCTTAATCGACTGAGCCACCCAGGTGCCCCTTAAATACATATTTTTAATAAATATTCAAATAAATCCAATACAGTATTAAACAGAAAGTTATAAATATCATAGGAAACATATAGAAGTTGTAAGAGGTTTTAAAGATTAACAATATTTGCTTCTAATTAGAGAGATAGCAAGGTTTATTAAAGAGAAGCCACGTGAGATGGGTTGTAAAAGATGGATAGGCTATGGTAGAAGGTAGATGGCAAGGGAGAAGGGAGGAATTCTAGACTCAAGGAAGAACATGAACAAAGGCAAAGAGGTAAGGAAGCCAAGGATATGTACTCTATACTTCAAGAAAAACTACATAAAGAGCTAAGGAAGATAAAACTGAAATTCGTTTTATTTCTACAACTTTCTCTTCACCTTTCTCTAACTGAAATTTGGCTTCGCCTTGGCGACATGGTTTTTTACATGTAGCTCGTCCAAGTAGTGACCGTGTTCTTTTTCTTATTCTTTGCAACATTGAGCCTGGAGGAAGAGTAGGTGTCCTTGGTGATCTTTAACACTTCCAGACAACTCTTGCTCCTTCTTAAAATCACTTGTCTCTCAATTTCAGGTCATTAAACTCTATTATAATTGACTATCCTTCTTTGCTGCAGTCACTATTCTCTGAGTCTAAGCTCCTGGTTCTTCATGGTTCTCATAATTCTTAGTGATTTCAAAATCCACAAAGACAAATTTTCTAATACTTGGCCTTTGATATCCTTTCTTCCAATGATTTTCACCTCCATCTTCCTTTAACTACTTAGTTCAATGACCACAGTTCATATCTAATAGACAGATAGTGGGTATTGTTTGCCACTCCCCACTCCTCTGAGGATATTTAGAAATGTGACCAGGGTGTGGGATGTGTGTGTGTTGAATGATGACCAGTACCTTCTGGTCATCATTCTAAATGTAAAGTAATGATGGCTTTTGGTGGATGAGGACCATGTTTGGTACATATCCTGAAATACATTTCTGTACACTCAAAATGCCTCTTGAAAAATACTGATGCTCTAGCTAGATCAGACACCAACAATTCTTCAGATCTAAAATCAATGATCCTATAATCCTGCCTCACCTCCCTTCTTAACTTAAGATTCTTCATCCATTATAATCATTCCCTTAACTGTTTCTTGTTTAGTAATAACACATTTTAAAAAGCCCTAATCCTGTTTAACGGAATTCTCCATGTCTGTGCCATTTCAGCTGTGAAGTAATAAGAGAAAAGGATATAAGTACATCAACTAGTTTAAATTTAAATAAAGTATTCCTAACCTCAAGTACGGTGTTAAAACTGCTTGGCAATTATACATTTTCCTAGTCTACACACTTTCCTATAACTTGTTTCCAAAAGTGTGATCCATGGGTTAAGCATCATTTGGGAACTCAGAAATGCAGAACTTCAGGTTCTATTCTAAACCTCTATCCATCAGAACGTGCATTTATAACATCTCCGTGTGATTCACGGGCACATTCAAGTTTGTGAAGCACTGTCCTAGTTAGCTACTTCATACCCTCTCCTGTTCTTAGATCTCCAGAACTTCGACCCCTTCCTTCCTCACTCTCTGATGACTCTGCTTTCTATTTCAATGAGAAAACAGAAGACAATTTTCAGAAACTTCCTCCAGGTGATCTATTCGACTGCCTATATCCACATCTATGTACTTTGCCTTCCTTGTTACCATACGTTAACTATTCTATGACTCAATGAAGTCCTTATCCTGTGCACCAAATTCTATTTATCTCTTCTCATCTATTTAAGGACAATGATCCAGTAATTTGTCTCCCCATCTTGAATTATTACTTTTCCCAGCCTCAGTGATTAGCTGCACATATGCTTTGTTTTTCCCACCTTAAAACTGAAAACAAAAAACCCCTATCATCCTACTTAGTTTCTCTTGACTCCATTCCCACCAACACCACCATTTCCTATTGATACTCTTTAAGAGTTTTCAATACCAGCTGTCTCCAATTATTCTTCCCCCACTCTCCTAAACACACTCCTATCAGGCTTTTGCATCTATCATTCCACCAAAATTCAGTACCACCCAACTCTGCTATGTTAAAAAAAAAAAAAAATTCCTTAAATGTCTAAGTAACTCTAATATATAATCTAATTCAAAATAAGCAGCATCAAACACTATAGTATTCATATCACCTGGAATGAAGCCTGAAAATGAAAAACTCTACCTTATTATCCCCAAATATAATCAAGTTTTTAAAAAGAAGCTATTCAAATAGTTTTATTAATTAATAATGCTTACCTGGCTGAACATGGGTAGCCTGTAAGAAGTATTTCAAAGCTCTCTCAAAGTTCTTTTCATTTTCCAGAGCATGACCCACATTATTCCATAATTTGGCATTATTTTTATTTACCTTCAATACATAAGCATAGATAGAAATTAATTACAATTAAAAAATACAACTCCAGGGCGCCTGGGTGGCTCAGTTGGTTAAACAACTGCCTTCGGCTCAGGTCATGATCCTGGAGTCCCTGGATCGAGTCCCGCATCGGGCTCCCTGCTCGGCAGGGAGCCTGCTTCTCCCTCTGACCCTCCCCACTCTCATGTGCTCTCTCTCTCATTCTCTGTCAAATAAATAAATAAAAAAAAATCTTAAAAAAAACCCAAAAAAACCCCCCAAAATACAACTCCAGTTAACACAGTTATTTATTTGGTATACCATAAGGAATGGAGTGTTCCACAGAGGCATCCATGAATGGGTGAGGTGCTCAAAGACACAAACTTTCAATTATAAGACAAATAAGTTCTGTGAATATAATGTACAGCATGGAGACTATAGTTAACAATACTGTAATGTATATTTGAAAGTTGCTAAGAGAGTAGATCTTTGAAATTCTCATCAAAAGAAAAAAATTGTACCTATGTGAGGTGATAGAAGTTAACTTACTGTAATTACTTTGTAATATATACAGATATCATTGTGTTGTACACCTGATACTAATACAAAGTTATATGTCAATTATACCTCAATAAAACTTGAAAAAATAATTCGGATTTTCTCTCAGAAAAGAAAAATTTGTATATATACCTCCAATTAACAAAGATATTTGTTTGGTGTATTATTAGGAATGGAGTGTTCCACAGAGGTATCCCTGGAGATGAGAAAGGAGCCAAAATGAAGTGCTTCACCAAATTTACTCTCCTTCCTTTTACATAAATATACTAAAACCACAGCAATCTGATTTCATCTATTTGATATATTAGAATTTTACTGAAAATTTTATTTGATCAAAGCATCATGGGGTGCTTGGCTGGCTTAGTCAGTAGAGTATGCAACTCTTGATCTCAGGGTCATGAGTTGAAGCCCCACACTGGGCATAGAACTTACCTAAAACAAAACAAAACAAAACAAAACAAAACAAAACAAACAAAAAAAACTGCATGGTGCTGTTTGAAAACTCCTGCTCTACTATCTGTATTCTTTTGGGAGAGAAGGCATCTGAACAGGAGAATATGTTTAACATTTCTCTGATTACTTATTTTTAGGCTTGTTATAAAGCTATTTATGCAGTCCATTATGGTAATGGGAAACCTGGGATTAAAGTTCTAAATTAATCTGTGCTTTAAGAGTTCACAGATGGGCATGATATTCCTGCACGGAGAGGATGGTACCTGGCCAAGGAACTAGCCTCAGTGAGTGGGGCTGTGGTTTGAGATTGTTCTAGGAATAAAGATAAGCAAAATTCTTGAAAATTACGGGGCTCCATTTGTATTCCAGGACTGCAGATTGAGAAGTATAGTAATGAGGTCTCTTCTGTTTACAGACTTCTGAGCTACAGGAGGGAGTGGAGTTATTGAGTGAGACAAAAGGATAGTCATGTGATCTTAAGTTGATGCCAAATCAAGAAGTCACACAGACTATTGGAATGAGGCAGTATTCCAATAAAGCTAAGCAACGGGGAGTACAGAAATAGCCTAAAGGAAGTTAAGAATTTAGAGTTTTGAAGAGAAGCACCTGAAAAAAAATCATTGCTTATAACATACAGAAACCAAATTTTATGATTTTTAAAAAGACATTATTCCTATATGTTCTCCATTCTATAGAAATGCTTTATTACTACTTTCTGCCTGTTCTTATCTTTCCTACAGTATTGTAACCTTGGTTATCTTCCACATAGTAGGGTGCCATTTTTTGTTATGTATTTTATTTCATTGAATCTAAGATGCCATCAATTCTAAGGCCATTAAGAAAACAAAAAAGCCACTAATTAATTGTAAGATGCCTCTCACTGTAAGATTTATTCTGATTTTAGAGACGTTAAAAGGTTAAAAAAAAAAAAGTCTGCCTTCAGAACTATGAACTATATATAGTATTCTTATTTAAACATTTTATTATCATTTGAGCTTCTAATAACCGTATAGCATTTAGGGAATTATTCATATATGCCATAGACATACCAATTAAATACAATTCAAAGCACTGGTTATGGTATATATTGTATAAAGAACAAATCATTTTTTACTAATCTTTTGGAGAAGTACTTAAAATTGACAGTAAAATGTCTAATTAAATGTAAAAACATCTTAGACATGACTATAAGAAATCATTAATAACATACTTTCCTGTCATTCTGGATAATACTTTACCTTCAAGGCTGACATAAACAATGTATATTCAGACTCCCAATCCCAATTTCTGTGGAGTGTTTTTAAGGCATGAGTGAATATCACCATAGACAGACAAACCCAGGATAACTTTTTTAATACACTGTTTGAGAGAAAAAAAGCAAAACAAAAAAACCATTGTCTATATCACCAGAAGCATTTTATCTTTTAGAATAGAGGTAAAAAGTATGTTAAATATCCCCTAATATCATCTTTGAGTTTATTCTAAGGAATGAGGATTGTTCTAATAATCGTCTAACTTCAAAGGGAATAACACCAAAAAAATTAAATATGCATACTACCTTCTACTTCAGTCTTTAATGATATTAAATTCCAATATTTGCCTCTATTTCAAAAACTCTGTTTACATATAATGGCAAAAAGTTGACAAACCAATTTTTAACTGTGACTTTTCCTTTTTGGGGCCTTTACTTAAAATTTGAATATTTTTGTGTTTATGAAGGGTCAATCTTGTCATTGGCTATATTTAAAAAAATTTGGCTTACACAGATTGCATCTATACCACAGATTATCATGACATTCTTGGAATAATTTCATATTTTAAAGCTAGAATTATTTATTACAAGTCATAGTAAAACTCTTTATGAAATAGATACAAATTATTATACAGCTTTAGGCTAATTATTTGGGACTCAATTCCTCATCTATAAGTTTATACTTCATTTATCCCTATGGTCTCATTTAGTACTAATGTTCTCTATGTTTTTGTCTTAGTAACACAGTTCAACTTCTTTCATTTTGAGAGATCCACTTAATCAGGATAAGAGTGCATGGATCAGAAAGAACATGGACCATGGAGCCTAAGGAAAGGAAAGGAAAAAGGAAAGGAAAGGAAGAAAAAGCATGGACATTGGAAGCAGTCAGATATAAATCTGAATCAAAATTCTACAGTTTACTAGCTGTGTGATCTTGAGGTAACCTGATTTAAGTAACCTAGATGAGCTTTAATTTTCAAATGTGCACAACAGTTAAGGAATATTAGATTAAATAAAACAAATCTAAAGGGTCTAGCATGGCTCCTGGCATATGGTAAGCACTCAAAAATTGGTATTGATTAAAATTGGATATATGGGTAGAAGTTAAGAGAAAAGGCCTGGTAGATGTTAGTGAAAATTGTAGACATGGATGAGATCATCCAGGGAGAATATACAGTGTGAGAAAAATGGCTGAGTAAAACTCTGGCAAATAAAAAATATTTAAAGAGCAAGTATAGCAAGACGACTCTGAGATGGGACTGAGCAGCAATGAGCAGACATGGAAGAGAATTAGGAGACAGACTTTTTACAGACACCAGGGAAATAAATTTGAAATACAATCACTGACTGGATTTAGCTACTAGGAGGCAATGATGTAGAGACGAGTCAGAATGCTGCGGGTTGAAGGATGACTGGAAAGTGAGAAAGCAGTCAGTGGCCATTTCTTGCATATATACAGTGTGACTATTCTGTTCCTTAATTGTTAGTTTAAGGCAACTAGGACATGGTGGTTATGATGCAGATAGTGATGATATCAAGAAATTACAGACTGCTTACTATATGCATTTATATATATTAACTCAATATGACTGAAGTAAGAAGACTGTATCTTAGTTCATTGCATATCGAAGTGGCAATGGTCATTTATAACTAGTCTCAACAATATCCTTGTTTTCATTTGGGTCTGACTCAAAGTTTGTTATGTCGCAGGCTGTACAATAAAATTATATTGATGATAATAATAGGAACATAGGATGAGGTGGGTGCTACGGAATTTTCCTAACCTGAATTACAGAAAAATGAGGAGACTATCAAGATGAAAAATAAAAAAGGTATAAAAGTGGGACTTATATAACTGAACTAAACATTTTAAACACTTAAATGCATCACACTTAATTCTATAGTTAGTAAGCATTAAATGAACTAACATTTTAATTCACCTTTTGTTTGATATTTTCTGCCATCCATGGGCTACCAAAATACAGAACCCCATGCTAGGCACATACAATACTCGCTCGGCAACAACAAATCCAACTGGGAAAAAAAGGTTCGATGCAGGAATAAATGGTAATGCCATCAAACAAAGTGCCTACAAAGAAAAATAAGATATTTTAATAAGTTAAAAAAATATACGGACACTCAAAAGTTAAACCCAAATATTTTATCATTTAATTTGAATAATGTATTGGTGGACCATTTTTAATAATACTATAAATAACACTAATTTAAACATAAAGATGGCAACTTAGGGACGGTAACAACAAACATCAGGATGTATGTCACCAAGGTGAGATCAAGTTAGGACTTCTAATTAGGGCTATCCAATTAAATATTTTTTGAAAATATATCTAAAATAAGACATTAATAATTTTTATACATACAACTTATGTTTGTGTGGTAAAAATACACTGACAGAGATGTTAACAGGTTTTAACAAAACTGTAACGGGGGACAAAACAGCCAATCATGCCAGTTTTTATATTTTTATTATTGTAAGTATTCATATCATATTGGAAATTGAAAAATGATATAAGGTATCCTTTAGACAAGATAGTAGACTACTACGTCTGTACCCCAGCATTCTTTTACATAATACTCTGATGAGTCATATACATTTAATAGAGGCTTAGCATAAGTATAAAAATAAAACTGCCCCCTTTAAACAGTAGTCTTTTATTCTATAAGAATTTCTAAAATTTTAACACTGTACATTGAAATAAATCATAAAAATGCTTAGGTTATTTTTGTCATTTTGAAAATGAGATAGCATATGGTTTCCAGACTATAAAGCCATTAAAAAGGCAGGATACAAACAACTAGCACAAATAACTTGTGAAAGGAACTAAGTTGGTTGTTATTAGGACATCTGTTTCTATGGGCATCTGCTTCCATATTTTCTTACCCTGATTTGTTTTATAGTACCCAACTGAATAACTATGCAAGTTGTTCCTTCAGCTTCAGAAGTTTGAGAGTCTTTTAACAGTATGAAAGATTGTTTTCTCTTTATTATACTTTATTAGTAAAATACAGATGTAAAGATGTACACACATTGAAAAAAATACTTTCACCATATATGATAAATTAATGACTTGTAATGAGGAAATAATGAATCTAAAGAAAAACACTACTGGACTACTAAGTATCAGTTAATTTATATATCTGAAATTTTAATGTTTTCTTTTTGATCAAAAAGGTAAAACATTAAGAATACATAATTATTTTTCCATTTCCCAGGAGTGCTTGATAAAAATAACTGGCTAGCTATGAAACAGATATTCCTAAAATGTAGTCCTTTCCTTTTATTTATTTAAAGATTCATTTCAGAGAGAGAGAGTGAGTTAGGGGAGGGGCAGAGGGAGACAATCTTCAAGCAGATTCCCCACTGAGCAGAGACCCCACTTGGGGCTTGACCTCATGACCTGTGAGATTATGACCTGAGCCAAAACCAAGAGTCAGATGCTTAACTGACTGAGCCACCCAGGCATCCCTGTAGTCCTTTTCTAAAAACAAACAGGCAAAGAAATTTTTTATTAATTCATGGCTGCTCTAAAGCAATTTTATTTGAAATAATTAAAAGTGTTATTAAATTCATTCAATGATGTATGATGGACTGATGCATAAGCTACATACACAAAAAATCTACTGGTTCTTGGATAAAGGAATGTCTCTAATGATTAATTTACTCAAAAGTTCTAATACACTCTATTAATATATGCCCACCTAGCTAACTATGGCTACCATAAGTTCCTTCTTCAGTGAATCAAAACTCTCTTTAAAAGGAAAGGTGGTAGTTAAAGGAGTTGGAACAAATCAGTTTAATTTCTTACTTCCTGTGTAACATTAGGTAAACTAATCAACCATCTTGCCAATTTGTGTTTCTTTATAAATTGGGATTAATAACTACTTACATTATATTGTCAGGATACATATGAGATTTTATTTAATAAGTGTTTAACACAGTATCTGGTACTTAGCAGGTACTCCCTTGATCTACTTATCCCTTCCAAAGATCTTCACAAAACATCACCATATAACATAGCATGTTTAGGACTATCTTAAAGAAGTTATACCTAAGATCATAACTGTTCCTTTTGATATACATAAAATAAAACTTATATAAATCTCTGCTTACTTCATTGGCACTATCCTATTTTTATTCAGCTTATATTATAGAAATCATTATTTTAAATGCCAAAACTTTACATTCACCCACCGTTCCTTACTTTTCCTTTCTTTTAGCAGAACCTCAGCTTTGGATGTATTCTATCATGTATCTGCTTTGTCTGTACTTACGTGAACAGCAAAGCACTACTAGAGACAGTCCCAAAGCAAAACAGATTAGTATCATCATAAATTCATGATTATCAACTTCAATTGATCCTTAAAACTCCTCAGAATTTCTAGGTTTACTTTTCTCAAACTTTTAATTCATGTCACTTTCAGCAGGTGATCATACTTCCAAACTTAGAGAAAACTAAAGCCATAAAACAAGAATTCCTTCAATTCCCTGCTACTAAAAGTACCAACATCCACATTGATGTCATTTCCATCCTTTCTGCGACATAAGAGGTGTGTGTCTCCATCTTTCTCAGGCCAAACCTGAGCTCTACATTGCCCCTGCTCCTCACAAATCTCACAATTAACCATCCCTTCATTTACTCGACCACTTTCTAATCAACTGTATCATTCCTATCCATATTCAAATATGCTCTTGTCTCTCCAACCTTAAACATCTCCTTTGACAACACATCTTTAAGTTACCTTACCTATTCATTATGTCCTTTAGGTATAAAACAAGTTCGCACATTCTTAGGAAAATATTTTTACAGCCAAGGTAGTAAGTAGCTGGTTTTAATCCCACTTAATCAACATTTCAAATCAACGAGTAGGTTTTTGCAAGTCAATCCATTAGTGATATCCCTTGCTTCTAAAAGTCAGCCAACTGAGTACTTCAATGAAAGTGATTCTTCTACCTCTGAAGGTCCACTAATTCTAGATCTTTATGCTTCCTCCAAGCTCGACATGAGATCAGCAGTCTGTTATGCTTCAAGCTGGCATAGTCTTCTCTTACTTAGGTGGTAATAAATTCAAGCTTGTCTCCTCCTTTGAAATATTCAAAGTTGAGTTACCCCTCAGGTTATCTATACTACCAATCTTCATATTCTCATCTAATCGAATCTCTCCACAGAAATAAATTTCATTAAGTAACTAATACACCTAAAATAGGTCAAATATGACTGATCTCACTTTTCTGCCTAACAGCATCTGTTAGGGATAACCATTCCATCTTTCTTGAAATACTTACCTACCTTTCCGTCCATTTGGTCTATCTCCTATTTAGGTTTATTCTCCTCTACATAGTATCTAAATATAGGAGTTTTTCAAGACCTAGTTGTAGGTTTCTTCTCTTTTCACTCGATCTAGCTAGCCCCTTCAACTATTTTCTGAGGGAGAATTAAGACCAAATACTCTAAGGCATTCATTATGTGTATGAATTATCTTCTATGTATTTGGAATGGTAATAGCTGGTTCCCATCTTTGAGAAAAGTCACAAAACCCCAGTTGAGAAAGGCTGCTCTATATATAACCTCTCCATAGACCTTCTTATTCTCATCCTGGTTTCAATTACTATCTCTATGCCAATCTATCAAATTTTTATGTGAAGCTTAGGACTCTCCTCTGAACTCAAGTGCTATTCAAGATCTCTACTAGGATCAAACTCAACAGATTAAAAAATAGTAAATATGGTCTTTCCTCCAAACTTTTTTTTCAATCTTCTCTACATCTCAGAGATTAGCTTCAAATTTTCCAAAATGCCAGTTTCCCTGGTAATTGGGGCCTTGTATTTCTTTTTATCATATCCTTAGTGCCTAAAAGGCTGCCCGGTACATAGGCTACAAGAAAAACTTTTTACTGAATAAATGAACCTAGTGGCTACAGCCAATATGAAATATTTGTAAAGTATTAAAAGCACTTTCTGGCATATAGCAAATGCTCAAGAAAATGTTAAAGATTATTACTGTCTTCAGTAATTTAAAGGAAGAGACAATAAAACTGCTACAAGTAAGAAGTGACAGCAGAGTAAGAGAATTACAAAGAAATACACCTCAGAAAAACAACAAGACTGTGTAAATAATCATAGTTCTCTGAACACAGTAAAATAACTTGGGGAGTAATGAAAATCTTGCTAATGAGAGCTAAAGAGCTATATATTTCTAGCTGCCTATCTTACAGGACACTCTTCTCTGTGTCAAGAAAACAGTGATCTATTTCCTCAAAGTGTATGATCTACTTAGGTAAAGAAATAGAAGAAAATGATGCCAAAGGCATGCTTCATGGTTTCAGAGTTCCTACTAAATCAAAGAAATTCATAACCAGTTTTTACTTTACATGGTGAATGTCAAATTACGCCTGCACATGGAATTCTGATATATAATTTTAGGATAGCCTAAAATAAGTTAATAAATTAGGCTGATGTTGAACAAAGAAAGACGCTGTTTCTAAGAAGATGCTTTGACAAATTAAAGGCAGTCTCTAAATCAACTGAATGTTACATCATCTGAGAAATTAAGGGAATTTCTTACCATTAAAACAGTCTTGGAGGAATCACCAGGGTATCTGAGACTGAATACTCCCAACGCCCCCAAAAAGCAAAAGAAAGTAAATGTTGCAAGATTTCGAATATCTAGAAATGACTCTATAAGTGGTATTGTTCCCATGGTCCAATCACAGCAGAGTTCTGAAGGATTTAATAGAAGCCAAGCATTCAAAGGAAGGAGATAGTTAAAAGTTAGCTGCCTTGTAGGAGTTGGGCTTACAGCAGCTGGGTTATCAAACCTGTATAAAGAATGAAAACAAAAGTTATTTAAAACACTTTGTAAACACAAAACATATAACATATAAATAAAATGTTGAACAATAAAAGCAATATTTTACACATAATCTCATTAAAAAGACAAAATATTTTTTACTAATACCTTACTAGAGGTATTTAGTCCTCACTAGAGTTCAAACTGTCTAACCTTTAAGAAACGTCTAGTTGAGACAAACTATGAAAAACTGTTTAAAGGGCAACTAGGTTATCTATTTCTAGTTTATTATTAGAATAATTCAGACAAGTCACTATAATATTATGATACTCTGCATAAGTATAACTTCCTGATTAAAAGTAAAAAAATTTTAAAAGTGTCATTGCTGTATGTGATGTATGAGTGTTTCTGAGAACACTAACCAATGTTTTTTCTGCATAAGATGGCTTCTTTCAAAAGGCACTAAATGCTAATAAAAATTATGCTTCCTAGAAAGAATTACTATGTTTTTCTTTTGTTGTGGACAGAGAAAACTGTATACCTATGAGTTTTTCCTTTTTGCTTAGACTTCTAGGAAGCTGAAAACCAAATTTCCAGTATAGAATAATAACTGTATAGGCCTATGTAACATTTTGTGTTCTACTTTTTCTCCTAGTACATACTAATATGAACTTATATCCTAATTTATATTTGTCCAGGCCATGATATATTACATGTACATTTCATTAGTTTAGTCTGTTTCCTGCAAACTAAGGCAAATCATAGTCAAAGCATTTTTTAAAGTATATTTCAAATTAATAGCTTCAGATTTTTTTTAGGCTACATTCAAAATTTTACTGGCTATGTTAATATACAGTCCTTTAAAAACCCAATTTCTCATTTTAAAATGAATGAGTTAAGAAAAATCAACCCCTAACATTTGTTTGACTTGGTCTTCTTAAAAATTCAAATGGCTGAGAAAAAGTAAATACTATTTGAACAAGTAAGATCTTAAAAACCTTCATATCTGAGTATCTACATGTATGAAAAATAATAAATCTTGAGTCAGAACTTGAATTCTCAAATAGCCAACAGAATTGAATACAAAGCTTTTTTCCTATAATCCACTATTCAGAGTTCATTTTTATAACTAATGGTTTATTTAGAATAGCTAATTTAATAACTGTACTATAGAGAAAGAACACATGTCAAAGCAAGTCAAACAATGTTATAGTCAACTTCATAGGGTAATATAATAGAAGAAAATATATATACACACATATTTTTAAATGCTTCTATTTGGAAAATACATATTTAGATGTAACGTATTCCATACAGCCATCCACAAATACATACACAAAACAAATACATTCATACTTATAAACCACATTTTCACACTATAGAACTGGAGATGAAAAACAGTTGATGGAAATTCTCTAAAAGGAATAATAAAAACAATAACACTGAAACTGAGGGTGAAGAAGGAACTATAAAGTATATATTTACAATTCAATCTATTTCACATATCTTACTACTTAAATGAGTTGTTCAGGGGTGCCTGGGTAGCTCAGATGGTTAAGCGACTGCCTTTGGCTCAGGTCATGATCCTGGAGTCCTGGGATCAAGTCCTACATTGGGCTCCCTGCTTGGCGGGGAGTCTGCTTCTCCTTCTGACCCTCCCCCCTCTCATGCTCTTTCTTTCTCATTCTCTCTCAAATAAATAAAATCTTAAAAAAAAAATAAATGAGTTGTTCAGTTTAGCATGGCTAGACTCAGAAGTAAAAATTCATGAAATTAGAAAGTATTCTTTAAAGAATAAAATGCTACTGAAAAGAATAATTATATGGAAAATGATACAAAGAAAATGTTTAAGGTAAGAGAATTATCTGAATAAAATTTTATTCTAACCAGGGCCAGCTATGCACTATCCTGGACAGCACACGAACAACATTTGGCCTTTTGTTTAAAAAAAAAAAAAAAAAAAGTTCTTCTATTTAATGTCAGATACTTTAATATAATTGAATAAGGAACTAGTATAAATTTCATTTTAAATTTTAGCTGAGTAAGGTGAAATGGAAAAATGCTAAATTTCAGAGCAGGACAAAAAGATGCAGCTTGTTAAATTCATCATAACTTTTGCGTCCAGCTTTAAACACAAAGAACTGGACAAGATATATAAAACTTTTCTTAACACACTAAGCATCAGGGAAAGAAGGATAATGATACCTGAGGGAAGAAAAATAAATAAGGGAAACCCTACTTGGAAAGTTCAATACCTAGACCCAGATTTTAGTCTGTGGAGCAGTGAGGGGGAACCTAGTGGAGCCTAGTAGTATCCTTAGGTTGCAAAGACAGAACTGGGAGCCCTAGAGGCCCAGGGGGCTAGGGTCAGTGGGCAGAATACCAGAGAGAAGAAAGCTGCTGAGAAAGAGAACTCATATCTGTAGAGGGTCTCTCTCCAGTTTTTAGTACTGATGAGAACTGTTCAGCATATGTATGTGAGGAAATACACAAGGTCAGTGTAGTGGGTAGAACCATGTCTCTCAAACATTCATATCTACCTAGAACCTCAGACTGTGACATTATTTGGAAACCTATTTCTTTGCCGATGTAATTAGTTATGTCAGGATGAGGTCATACTGGATTAGGGTGAGCCCTAAATCTAATGACCGGTGTTCTTATACAAAGAGAGAATACAGAGAAACACACAAGAAAGAAGGAATGCCAAAGACTGCTAGCAACCTCTAGAAACTAGGAAAGAAGCATGGAACAGATTCTTCCTGAGAGTCCTCAGAAGGAACCAACTGTGCCCGACCCTTGATTTTGGACTTCTGGCCTCCAGCACTGACAGAGAATAAATTTCTGCTGTTTTAAGCTACCCAGTTTCTGGTAATCTGCTATAGCAGCACTAGGAAAAATAATGCAGTTAGGAAAGTACCTCTCAAAAGAATTAGATAAAAATTCTCAAATACCATACAGAGGTGGGAATAGTTCCTCAGCGCCAGAATGAAAATCCTCATAAATCACAGTCTATTAGATATAGTAGTCAGAAGGGTCTTGTGTCAGTAGCGGAAGAAAATTAGCCCTATTGTAAATGCTGCTGTGGTCTCATTCATCAAAGATTAGAAGCATGGCTAGAAGATGAAACATTTCTCAAATAACTTAAATGTATCCCAGAACAAAGCTCTAAAATATTTATAGTAATATAATTAAAGTAAAATGCACATATATGACATCTATTAAAAAATTGCCTGGCATGTGAAGTAGAAACATATAATCCATGAGAAGAAAAATTATTCAATCTAAACTAAGAAATTAGTTTATACTACTAATAAAATTAGTAGATGAGGAAATTAAAGCACTAGAACATGTAGAGACATGAAACATAAAAAGGCTTAAACAGAATTTCTAGAAATGGAAACAATATCTGAAATGAAAAAGAACTAGAAAAAAATTAAGGGCAGATTAGACATTGCAGAAAAAAGATTAGTGAACTTGAATATATTGCATTAGAAACTATCCAAAACGAAAACAGGGAGAAATAGTTTTTGGAGAGGAATAAAAAGAGCATTAGTCTGACAACTCCAAAAGGCTTAATATACATGTAATTGGGGTCCCAGAAAAGGAGAAGATAATAGAAAAATATTTCAAGTAATAGAAAAAAAATTTCCAAAATTTACATAAAGTAAAACCTACAGATCCTAAGCTCAATTAACCTAAACACAAGACACATGAAGATAAAAGAACAGTGACTGGAAGTTTGTATCATTTGACCACTTTCACCCAAATTTTGTTATACGATAAATATGTCCTAGGGTAGTAATATGCAGCAGGTGACTACAGTTAATGACACTGTACTGTATATTTGAAAATTCCAAAGAAAATAGATCTTAAAAGTTCTCATCACAAGAATTTTTTGTAATTATGTGTGGTGATGGATGGACATTAAGTACACTTATTAGTGATAATCATTTCTCAATATACATGTATCAAATCATTACACTGTATACCTAAAACTAATAATGTTATATAACAATTATGTCTCAATTTAAAAAAAAATAAAGAAACGATGACAAAGAGAAAATAATACAAGTAGACATACAGAAAAAGACACACTACACACAGAAGCACAAAAACAAAGATGACAGAGGATATCTCAGTGAAAACTGCAAGCTAGCAAATAGTAGAGCAACATTATTAGAGTGCTGAATGCATAACAATGTGGAATTCTACACTCAGAATTCAAAATATTTTTCAAAAACAAAGATAAAATAAAGATATTTTTATATATAAAAGCTAAAACAATTCAGAACCAGCAGACCTACACGTCAAGAAATGTTAAAGAAAATCCTTTAGTCACAAAGAAAAATGGTACAAGACGAAAATCACATTGAATGTAAACAGTTGAAACACCTCATTTAAAAAATACTATCTGGGGCGCCTGGGTGGCTCAGTCAGTTACGTGGCTGCCTTCGGCTCAGGTCATGATCCCAGGGTATCGGGCTCCCTGCTCAGCGGAGAGCCTGTTTCTCCCTCCCTCTGCCTGCCGCTCTGCCTACTTGTGCTCTCTCTCTGTCAAGTAAATAAATAAAATCTTAAAAAAAAAAAAATCTGACCAAACAAAAAAGACCCAACTTTATGCAATCTACAAGAAGTCAACTTTAAATATAAATATATTGATAGATAAAAAGTTAAAGGATGGAAAAAGAAAAACAATGTTAACACTAAGAAAAAGGAGATAAAGTGAATTTCTGAGTAAAGACCAGGGATAAAGTATTATCAGGGATAAAGAAACTCATTTAATCACAATCCTAAATATTATGCACTTAATAATAGAGCTTGAACTCACAAGAAGCAAAAATTGATAAAACTATAAGGAGAAATAGACAAATCTATAATTACAATCAGAGATTTTAACGTCCTCCTCTCAATAATTATTAGAACAAGTAGATAAAAATCACTAAGAATATAAAAGACTTATCACGTAACCAATCAAGTTAAAATCATTGTTATCATTAAGTTAAAATCATTATTTTCATTCTGGTGGTTTCATGAGTGTACACATAGGTCAAAAGCTACTAATTTGTACATTATAAATATATGCAGATTTTTAAAAAAATACTATACCTCAATAATGCTGTTAAAAAACCTCCACGTAAATCAAAGGCTTTCTGAAACACTTATAATCACTGAACATCAAGAGTTAAAGAAAGAAAGAATTAAAAAAAAAGAAAAGAACCAGACTTTCATACCTGGTGAATACTGGAAGTTGGGACTGAATAACCTGGACTCTAATCACAACAAGTAATAGTGTACTGAACATCAAAACAATGAGTTTTATTAGTGTCTGCAGCATAGAAAATGGAATACTACTCTTTCCACGGAAAAACTGTCCAACAGTAGTCCATAATAATGGCAAAGTATACTGCAAAAGGAAAAAAAAGTTTTAAACAATATACTATAATGTTTTCTATGCAGTATTTTCAAAATGTAAGATTAGATATAAATTGACTATAATTATAAAATCAATATGGAGCAATTTGTGGAACTGATAATGAATAAAACTGAGCCCAATAATCTTATCCAATACTGAATTATATTGTACAATATTACTGTATACATTACCAAATTGCCTAATGATTCCATTATTGAAATTCAAAGAGTTGTCCTTAAAAAAGTGAGCGAGTTATAAAATGTTAAGTAATTTTCAATGGATAATAGGACAAAACATGCTGGTTTCTTGCAAATTTTTTGGTATCATTTTTGGTAAACACACCAATTTACATAATGACACATTTAGAAAACAAGTTTATTATAAGAGCATTTAAGTATGATAAGTGATAGCAACAAAAAAACATATTTCTCCTTACCCCTTGTGCAATAAATACTTCATACACACAGCAAATTCCCACAACTGTTATTCCTTGTTCTTTACACAACGTTGCAACAGCAACTAAAACCACTGTCAAGGCAATTGGAGTCCATACTGCAATTTAAGAACAGAAAAATATAGAACTACACAAAACAATTTTATAATATCATAGAGATATTTTAAGTTAGACAACTATTAGACATTACTAAAAAAGTTTACTTGTGATTCTATTCACATTTACGTTATTTCCCACTAACCTATACTTTATATTTTAAAATATATTTAAATGTTGTAAGTGATTTTTCCTTTATGCACTCAAAACAAAACATTGAGATGTATAACTTGTACTAAAACTTTTTGTGGAAAAGAGAAACTTACAGGCTGGAGTGTTGTGACTGATGAACTATCAGTTTGAAATGAAGACAAATACTTCATTATGTAGACATCTATGTTTTATTAAAAACCTGAAACTGAAAACTACTGGGCAAAGTAAACTAGCATCTATTAAAAAAAAAAAAGAGTATAAAAACTGAAACAGGTTCATAGTAAGAATTTAATATTTTTTTAAAAAATTTGCAATAGAATATTCAGAAGTTCTATTTAAACAGAAAACCTACTTCATCAACTTTAAGCAAACATCTACTAGTAGTAGTAGTAGTCGTAATTTGATTAAAGAAGAATGAATTGTGAGAGTAATTCTGGATCTACTACTAACTTGCTTTGTGACTTTGGGAAACTTTTCTGAGTTTCAGTTTTCCTACTGGAAAATATAATCTCCAATTCTCTTCCAGTTTAAAAGATATACTGTAGTATGATTGCGTGACCTTAGGTTTATTTATTAAGAACATTAATCAAAGTAATAACTCAAATAATTGACTTAATTCCAGGTATAAATAAAAAAACGATTTATGAATCTAATATATTTTCCTTTGTCATTTGCCTTAATACAGAAATTCATTTATTTTTGAAATTGTTTTCAACTTTAGAATACTCTATAGGTTATAATTACTGAAAGGAAAACAACTCAAACTTTGAAACACTATTGGAGATACTCCATGTAATAGTATTCTTTCTCTCAAAAAAAAAACAAAAAAACCCCTTCATATTCTAGTTAGATCAAAACCATCAATATGAAAGTAGTAGATTATACCAATGGGATATGAGAGCTGATATAATCATACCCATTTTTAAGATGAGGAAAGAATTTTGGAGGTCTAAAAAAATAGTCATGCACAATAAAGAAATCATGACTTTAACTTGGTTCTTCTGACATTAAATTCAGAGCTTCTTACTAGTTTGTAATTCCATTCCAAGACAGAGAAAGCAAACAGTTGCCTTCTGCAATGCTGGATTCAATCTCAGCAACTAATAGCTCTAATAAAGGCAAGAACTTTACTGAAACCAGTCACTTCAGTTCTTCAACTTTTGGTGACTATATTACTGTGTGAATATAAACTTTGATTTTATAAACAGATCTCTGTGGTTAAAGTTACCATATGTGATTTTGTCCAAAACAAGTCCCCCTGCTAAATACATTAACAACACTTAAAAATATATACATGTGTAAGTACTGATTCAATTTCAATCATTAAAATCCTTTCCAACACAAAATACAGGTTTCTAAACTGATTTTACATGTGTAAAGATACAAACTTCCAGCAATCACATATTCTAAGTTATTTTAAGTATCTGCTACATTTTCTGGGGGAGATAATAGTCAAATAAGTAAAGATATATTTGCCAAATGATGACCTAAGTGTTATGAAGAAAAATAGAAGGTGAAAGGAAGCAGAAAGGAATGGGAAAGATGAGTGGTGTACTGATGACATTTGAGCAGAAACCCAAACTAACAGAAAGGAAAAAGGCCCTGAGGTGGATCATGCTTGAAAAAAAAAGGGCATGGGTCATTAACAGCCTAGAATTTAAAGTGATCAAATAATTACAAATTGAACACCTTTGCACAGGGTAACATACATTAGATAAAATAGTGAATACAAAGATGATAACAAAACTGTTTATGGTCTTAAGTGTAAAATTACATATTGTAGAATATGAAGTATTATGGGAGCTAAGAGGATAGAGAGAGGTTCAAAAGCAGGGTCAGCATCTTTTTAATTAGAATTTATTTGTTTAATTGTTCACTTGGTCATTTGCTAAATAAATATAATGAACACCTACTGTATATAAGGAACCATTCTAGGAAATGGAGACAGAAACCTACCCATATTACAAATCTAAGAACACACTAAAAGTGTTTGGCTAAATCACTTATTTCCTGAACCTTAGTTTACATTAATACAAAATTAGGCTCCTTATCATCAGTACTTTGGGTCTACAGTGAGAAAATTCTCCAAGAATGTAGGAAAAAACCTCAGAGTTAAATTTTAAGATCAACCAAATATAGGTTACCATTATGTAAAACCTCTTTCATGCCCACTGTTCCCACACTTCTAAAAAGTCATTTTTATTGCCTGGAGCTTGTTTTCTGCTAATAGCTGGCATTAGCAGGATTAAAGACCTAATTTGTACAAAGCATTTTCCAGGGTGGGCCACATGGTAGGGACTCAATAACAATAACTCAACTATGATCAACACATAATAAAGTTATATTCTAATAAGCTTTCAACTTTACCTAAATAATACAATTCACAGCTTTACTATAGAAAGACAACTGAAGTATTGGTACTTGTATCATTTATAGATAACAGTACATGGAACTAAGAATGACTCTAAAACTCCCATATTCTAGGGTAATTTTTTTAAGTTAAATCATACATAATCTGTTAGTCATGATAAAATATAAACTTCATGCAAAAATTTTTTTAATACTGACAATGTTGCAATATCATGTTCATATGTCCATACATGCTAAAGATAAACCCAAGTGTGGCATATATTTTATAATAGATATAGAGAAAAAAATTAAATGTTAAGACACTCACCTATGGAATTATCTGGTCCTTTTGATTTGGTATATGACAAAAATGCAGCTAGAAAAAAGATAGAGGACAAAAGTTCTGCTCTTCCTACAACACCTGTTACCTAAAAAGGGAAAGGGAGGGGAGTTCATATTAATGAAGAGGCTCCTGAAAATTTAACTACCACATATAATAAGAACAGCACTTTAGAAATCAAACTGCCATAATTTTTCAAGCACACATTTCAGTTTCTTAGACATTCTTTGAGTGCCCTCATGTGGTGAATTTGTATATCTTCCATAAAAATAAATTTACCAGTGACTCTAAAATAGTTTTTATTATTTTGAAATAATTACAGATTCACAGGAAGTTGCAAAAACAGGTACAGAGAAGTCCTGTGTACTGTTTACCCAGCTTCCCTCAACAGTAACATCTTACATAATATTAGGACAATATCTAGAATAGTTCTTAATTTAAAAAACAAACAAACAAAAAACCTAAGACCTTACATATTTCCTTAAAATACAAGCATTCTTAAAATATAAAAATATTCATAAATTCAGTAAGTTCTATCTCATAATAAATGTGTAAACTCAAGATAATAAACTTTAAAAAGTCCTTTTTTGGGGTGCCTGGGTGGCTCAGTCAGTTAAGTGTCTGACTTCAGTTCAGGTCATGATCTCAGGGTCTTGGGATCAAGCCCTGCAAGGGGCTCCCTGCTCAGCAGGGAGTCTGCTTAGCCCTCTCCCTCTGCCCTCTGGCTGCTTGTGCTGTCTCTTTCTCAAATAAATAAAAGTCCTTTTTTAAATTCTAAAAATTTAAATATAAAACCCTCAAATCTCTTCCTTTATTCTGAACTCACTGTAAAATTTAAAACAACCTATCGTTTTTGTAAATGCATGGAAAAATGTCTGTTCAACTAGACATAAAAAGGTTCAAGACAGTGGGAGAGACACACAAACCCCTTCTAATAAATTCAAGCACAAGAGTTCAAACATACATTTTTTTGCTTACAACTGAAAGCTTGTAACAAAGCAACTGAACAGTCCTTTTTGCTCTGTTGAGAGGCAGTTTTGGGGTTTCAAGGTTATCAAGAAAAATAAAGTTATAATTTAAGTACCTCTTGGTATGTAGGGGCTGACAGACATACTGGCAACAGCAGAGACAGCTCACAATTTTGAAACGTGGCAACAGACAAACATGAAAGTAGAGTATCTTCACTGGTTAGAATGTTTTTTTATGTTTGCATATATTTTGATATATGTTTACGTATATTTTCATCTTTTATTTAAACTTGTCTTATTTTTTTGTGTCCTTTGAAACACTAAGAAGTTGACAAATATTTTAAATCTATATTCATAAAAAAACAATTAGCAAGGAACTGTATTCATTTATCCTTTCATTACTCATCTTGAGCAATTTTATCTTATGTCCTTAAAGAATGTTTATGTTTCAAAACTTGCTTTAAATTTAAAAATTTTAGGGGCGCCTGGGTGGCTCAGTTGGTTAAGCGGCTGCCTTCAGCTCAGGTCATGATCCCAGGGTCCTGGGATTAAGCCCCGCATGGGGCTCCCTGCTCAGCAGAAGCCTGCTTCTCCCTCTCCCTTTGCCTGTGGCTTCCTCTGTTTGTGCGCACTCTCAAATAAATAAATAAGATCTTAAAAATAAATAAATTAAAAAATTTTATATAGAAGGAAGTCAGACTCTGTACACTAGAAAGTTAAGACTTATACTAATTTAAAAATCTTCAAATATTTTAATTAAGGCCACGGTTAAATTTCTTTTCTTAAAAACATATACCATTATAGTCACTATGTAGGCTTTGTTAAAAAAAAAAAAAGAAGAAGAACACTGATTTACAGTTTTACTTACTGCTTCTGTGTGTATTGGGTGCACTGCAAAAAGTAAAGAAGCAATCATACTACTCCTGTTGTCCAGAAAAAGTTTGCAAACTTTAAGAAATATCACACTAACCACAGCATGAAAAATCATATTTAGAAGATGATATGACATTGGTTTCAGTTCACTAAACAGATAATTTAAACGAAATGTCAATACTGTTAAGGGACGGTAAGACTTGTGGCTTCTCTCCTAAAAGGAAAAAAACAATCATCATCATTAAAATTCCATGGTCCTTTAGCACACATAACTTAATCTTTGCATTTCCTATTCAAAGTATCTACATTTGGCTGAGATATAGCAATAAAGTAATGAACTGCTCCAAGGATAACACAAGACTAAAAGATAGTTTTATAATGTGTTTTCCTATTTCCTTAGTCCCAAAACAAAGGCAATTTCCTCCTTTTGCAAATATCCCATCCCATCAATAGAAGAGGAAGAACATATGACTATTAATTCCTCTTCAATACACAGATTTAAAAAAATAATAAAGCAGGACAATAGTGGCACTGATCAAATCAGAACACAGGATTCTCTCCAAAGCCTACTTTCCAATCTATTACTAATACAAGCATTTATATAACTGCTGGCCAGATTCTCAAAAGGAAATATAAGAACAGAATGTTTACCAGCTCAGTTTTAATTGTGAAGACTCAGAAAAGTACTGTTTTATGAAAAACACTTTCATAATATGTAAACCTGAATATATTAAACCAAAAAACCCCCAAATACTACCCAGAGAATAATACAAAAACAAAAACTTTCTTAGAATAACAGAATAGATACCTTTGTTATGGTAGTCTTTACTGGCAATAAATCAAATTTTATGTGAAGCTGCTGAATTTCTTTATAAGCTAGAAGTTTCACTTAACCAGAAATATTTTTACCATAAGACAAAAATCAAACCAGATTTAAGAATAAAATGCACAGGACAAAAACACATAAAATATTATCCTATTACTTTTTAAAATTTTATGTAAGGGCATTCACACTCAGCTTCTTCACTCTCATACCTCTTACCATATTTTGCTATAACTCTGGTATTACAGGTATCGACTTAAACCTGTTTATCCCTACTAGGGAACATCAGGAACCACAAGGAACAAACATTTCTCAATTTGAAAACAGGAACATTTTAATATCTCTGTATTGACTACACATGCCATGAGTGATGTCTACCTTGAATGTTCTTTGCTGCTTAATTTTTGTACATCATTTGATTTAGCTCAGGCATACAAAATTATTTTTAAGGCATTATACTGAACTGACATGATGTGTATCCAAAAGCAAAAAAAGGCCTGGAAACCTTTTGAGTGCCTGAAATGTTACTGTAGTTCCACTGGGACATATTGGCCAGTCAAAAGGACTAAGTCTGAAAGTGCAGGGAATAGGTTATTTTTAACTGTAATATACATAATTGTTTTGTTAGGTCTATTAGATGTACAGTCACAGGTAATGGCCAATTAAAAAATAGATTAATTATTAACTTGACTGATTATTCACACAATGCATTAGTAATCTAAAGACTCCACTGTGATAATCATCAGTGTAGTAGATAATAGATTCTTCTGTGAAAATATAGTAAAACAGCTAGTTCTATTACAAACAAAACAATATAGATCATTATTAAATTCAGGTATTTTAGAGAAAAAACAATTATTCATAGTATTAGTTGGCATAAGAACATAGAAACATAAGCATGAATATAATGAATAGGCTAATAGTTCCCTATTAATGTGAATCTCCATATATCAATGGCAAAACAAAGTGAAATGGGATATTTGCAAAAGTTACCTTAACAAAGATACTTCATAGGCCAAATACCAGAAGAGATGGCTCATTACAGCTCAACCATGGCTATGCCAGAGAATCACTTGGATAAACAGAAAAAACCTAATCCTCTACTCCTCCCTGCCCCCCAAATTCCACAAGAACAATAAAAAAGCAAACACAAAAGGAACAAGACAAAAACACTGATGCCCACATCCCTTTCTGAGATAACTGTAACAGATTTGAGTAGAGCCTTAGTAATATTTTTTTAAGTGCCAAGCAGATTCTAATATGTAGCTAGATTTATAATCCACCGAACCATTCAAAAACCGAGTATAATCATAGCTAAAGAATGGGCTTACTAAAGAGATAATCTAAACACTAAGAGTGCCAGAGGAGTCCAAAGACCCCTACTATGTCAGTATTCATACAGCTCAGGAATATGTCCAAAGCCCAAAATGTGTCTTTAAGATCTACACTGACACAAAAATCTTTATGAAGGTTTGGGCACTCACAGATAGGCTTCCAGGCTATCATTACTTGATGACATCAACCATCTGATCTCTGAATGTGCTAATTTCAGGCTGGTCAAGAAAAGTTGTAATACCTTAATACTACTCAGAATAATTTTTCCTTAGTGGCACATTTCCCTACAGGAAGAGAATACGCCCATCAGAAAAAAGGAGGAAGCAACAATCTCCACCATATATTGTTATTCAAATCTGTTCATTCATTTTTTTCGGAGTTTATGAGTACTTTTCTTAGTGTGTCCACTTATAGGAGCTCTGAACAAAATCATATTTTCAATCTGTAAAGCTGAGGAAGTCACAAAACATTGCACTGACACCATGGTATGGTAACTTTCATGAGACCCTTAATCTGGCCAGCTAACCTTTCAGTTAAAATCTCAATGTCATGATTAAAATCACAACAGATACTAACTTAAGTTGGGGAAATGGACACATATTTCTAAGGGTCTCTAGGGATAAAATGTAGGGGTAGAAGGAAATAAATGGCCTAGAAAATAATGATCTTATTATATAATATTTTTTCTCATTGTCAAATATTCATTTCTTTTAAAGGCTAGAATAGGGTGAGAACAGGAAGGTTACAAGAAAATAAAGTCTGCTTATTTAACAAGAAAAAATACTTCTTATGTGCTTGTGACTAGAGGAATGACAGACTTCATCCCCACTCTTGAGAAGCTTCCATATTTAAAGAATGCGGAAAGGGACCACAAATGACAACTGACAAAGTATAAAAGAGTGTTATATGTTACGGTTCAACTGTGCGCCACGTACTATAGAGTAATTCATTTATTTATCCTCAAGGTATTATTCTTTTATGGATCAGATCTCTTATAGAGCTTGCCATCTAAAAGCTATATTCTCACCAATTTCGTACAGCTATTATATAATAGAATGGTAGGATCCAATCTATGGGCTCCCAAAATGACAACAGTTTAATCCCAAACAGTTTAATAGTGACCTTCAAAATAAATTTACTGACAAAATAAAAACATCCTCATAAAAAATGAACTTTTGGGTTCTCAATATAAAATTAAAATACTAGGTAAAAAATATGACACAAATTTAAAATTTTCTGCAGGAAAAAAATACTTTTACCCTTAAAGTCTAATCTATTTATATTGAAGTCACATATTTTTAGATGGTTAAATATATCATAAGTGGTCATTTCTTTTGCCTGAATCATGAAAAAAAAAAGTTAGCAAGAAAATAGATTTGTTTACACTTCTTGCTATCCTAACACATTTGGTTTTCACACACATATATTGTTTTTAAAAAGATTAAAATACACAGCCAAGGAAAGAATTATGTACTGCTTTAAAGAAGATAATCACATCTTCTACTTCCTATCTAACATATACATTTTAGGGAAACAAATTCATAAGTGCTGTGATGACAATGGTGGTAAAGAAATTAGGAGTAATAAACTATTAGAATATTTTAAAATCTAAGATACACATAAACAATAACTACTTACCTCAGACATAGGGGTTCCCCAGAAGTCATTCTGAAATAAAGTTTTTAAAGGTGTAGATGGATGCAGGTCTTTATTATCCAGTATTGCTGAAACATCATCAAAAACAAAACCACAGAAGAGGCTGTTCCAATAGCAGGCGGTAACCACACCTACTATTAAGGCTATTTCTTTGAGGTTAATATCAGCCATCCTGTCCACAAATCTGGGGGGAAAAAATCATAAAGGTAAGATGAAATAAGCATCATTGTTTTTTCAAGTAAGTAAAATTTTCATAGAAGGATAAGTAAAATAGTGAATGCTAATTCTCCAGGAGACTTCAAAGCTCAGCTCAAATGTCAACCACCTCTAAAAAGCATTAGCTGACCACCTCTCCAAATTCCTAACTTAAAATTAATTGCTCCTTCATGTATTTCATATTTCTATTAGAATCCTTTATCACACCATTTAATCTCTGGACTTACCTCTCTAGCTAACTAGATAGTGAACTCCCTATCAATTGTCACAGGTTATTCAGGGAATATATATATATATATATATATATGAAAACTTTAAAAACCTAGTATGGTGTACTCCAGAAGCAGTAAATAAATTTTTGTGAGGAAAAAAAAAAATACTTGAAAAGACACTGAACATGGATTTTCTGAAATGTAGATGGAGCTTGTATTTTAGTACTTTATATACCCGAAAACCAACTATTACCTAAATTAGGCATCCAAACTGTTAGCCTGCAGCCTTGTTTAATTTGGTTAAAGCCTTTTAAAAATATCTCAAATGTGTCTAAAGGCATTCTAAGCCTAAGCTAGCTGTGTATTAGCCATTTAACTATAGTCTCACTATTTTTCACACTGATTTATGTTATCTGCTTAGCAATATGAGTTTAAAACCCAGATCTAAATCATAGTGTTTTTCTCATTACAACAAATGATTTTAATCTAGAGAACAGGCTTCAGACATGACAATTCATAATTAAATCATTGCTTTAGAAAGGATTTAGTAAGAAAATGGTTTAGAGAAGGAACTGTATTAACTGTATGATACTGAAGAATTAGCCTTATAATAAAAATAAGGTTGGAGGGTACTCTTGAAAAACAAGCCAATGATATACTTTTCTAGCTTGAGTAGTATCATTAGTATCATTATCTGTGGAGGCAGAATTATGGCCCACCATAACTATCCATATCCAAATCCCTGAATCTGTGATAATGTTACTTTACATGGCAAAAGAGACATTACAAGGTGTGATTAAATTGAGGGTTTTGAGATGAGGAGATTATATCTTCGATTATCTGGGTGGGCCAATTCAATGACAAGAGATCTTAAAAGTTAAAGAGGGAGGCAGGAGAGTCAGGAAAGCAGAGATGAGAGTGATGTGATGGCAGGCTGGGGCCACAAGGCAAGGAATGATGGTGGCCTCCAGAAGCCGGAAAGAGCAAAGAAACACATTCTTCATTAGAGCATCTAAAGTGACCACAGACCTACGGACTCTCAATTTTAGTCTAGGGAAACCTATTTTGCACCTCCATAATTATAAAATAATAAATTTGTGTTAAGTCACTTTATTTGTGGTAATTTGTTACAGCAGCAAGAAGAAACTAATACATTACTCACAGAGTCAGAAGATCTAAGATGTGATATATATCTATAGGAGTTCCTGCTAGATCAGAGAGGAAGATGACACTAGGAAGGGCAGAGAGATTTAAAATCAGATGTAAGATTTATATAAGGATATAGACACACAAAAGCCTAAGAAAGTATTAAAGTATAGATAGGAAAACCTTAGAATATATTACTTAAAGAAATGCAAAATCCAATCCTACAAGTCACAAAAGGATATTAGCTGTACCTTTTGAAGGATAGTTTTCAAGTAAAAAAAAAAAAAAAAAATGATCTAAGAGTTTATCTTGAACCCAGCACTGATTTATCATCTCTAAAGAGTATGAACTTGTGCCTTATCCCAGAAAAAGTTAATAGCAGTTGTTTAAAGACTGGAGATACTGAGCAGGCATTTGCCTCACTCCTAAATCACACACTAAAATGACAAGGTATTAAAAAGAAAAAAAAAAAGTATAAATCCACAAGGATAAAGACCATTGGATTTTGTAAGCTGGAAAAACAAAAGTTCAGTGGTGATGCAACAGAGCTCAGGAAAGTAAATCTTAAGCTTAAGGGGGAAAGCTAAAAAGTTTTTTGCATCCCTGTCAGCATCAATCTCAAAACTGGTGACAAGAATCTCAAGAAAAAGGGCGCCTGGGTGGCTCAGTTGGTTAAGCGACTGCCTTCGGCTCAGGTCATGATCCTGGAGTCCCGGGATCGAGTCCCGCATCGGGCTCCCTGCTCGGCAGGGAGTCTGCTTCTCTCTCTGACCCTCCCCCCCTCTCATGCTCTCTCTCTCTCAAATAAATAAATAAAATCTTTAAAAAAAAAAAAAGAATCTCAAGAAAAAGGAACAGATGTATTTGTTAAAATTTAGACTCCTCTGTCATTGGGTACAGGCAAGTAACCTTTTCTCCTGTAGCTGGGCAGAAGACTAGAGACTTCCTCTCTGAAATAGGTGAAACACAGGGTGTCTGATATAGGGGACACAAGTGAAAACAGGTAGCAAACTGAAAATGAGGGTTAACTAAAAGTCTGTCTACATATTTTGAGATCCTCCAGTTATCTTCTACCAACTGGGCACACAATTTTGTAAAATTTTACAACCCTGGAAACAAACAAAAAAGAGGCCTCTAAAAGCTTCCACAAAGGAAGAAAGCAGGTTTCATAGCAAAGATTAGGATTCAAACAAATCCTTTTTTTTTTTTCCACTAACACTGGAAGCTGGAGGATTGGGGGGGCAGGGGAGGAAAATTCTGAAAAAAAAAGGAGTAATGCTTCAAATTTCTGAGGGATAATAATTTCCAACCTAAAATTTGATATTAATAAACACAAATTTCCCAACTAGGAAAATAGAATAAAAAATATCTTAAGATATTCAAGGTCTCAAAAACTTTACCTCTGATGTCTCCTCAGGAAACTAACAGAAGACTTATTCCAATAAATGAGAGAGTATATTAAGAAACAGAAAGAGAGGGAAATCAGGAAACACGGGATCCAGTGCAAGACAGCAACAAAAGAAATACCCAGAATGAGAACCATGCAAGCAGGCCCACTAGCCAGTCTACACTAGAACAGGTCAGAAGGTTCTTCAGCAATACTCCCAAGAAGCTATAAATAGAGCACCTAATGTGTAAGAACCATTTTACTCTCCCATTGTGTGTGTGTGTGTGTGTGTGTGTGTGTGTGTGTGTGTGATGGTAATTTAGAAAAACAAAACAACTCAGGACATCCACCACCAGGTAGGTGAAAATCAAGTCTTGTGTATGGGTCACAAATCTCTCTCCCATAATCTCAGAACCCTGATCTGGGGACATTTGGGATTTTTATCCCAAACTGTTGTTTGTCAAACTGCTTATATGTTCTCACCATAGGAAAAATTAAAATTAATAGAAGAAAAAGGAGTAAATTAAACCTATGGTTTTACTACCTCAAAGCTGTATTTGGGAACAACATATATATGATTATTAGAGTACTAATAATGTTTAAGAGAATCTGACACACACTGTAGACTCTTGGTATATTAGCTTTAAAACTATAAAATACAATTTTATATGATACAATATGTATAATATATATAATATTAAATTACAAACCATGCAATTTGTGGATTTAGGCTTTTTAGTTGAAAAGTATAAAAATTTAGCCAAGTTTACAAACATTATTGGAATTTTGTAAGGACTTGGGAGTTGCTAATAGTTTTAAGCTTAATTTACTAGGTTTATACAAATTGGTTTTTTGGGTTTTTTTTCTTAAGATTTTATTTATTTGACAGAGACAGAGACAGTGAGAGAGGGAACACAAGCAGGGGGAGCAGGAGAGGGAGAAGCAGGCTACCCGCCGAGCAGGGAGCCCGACACGGGGCTCGATCCCAGGACCCTGGGATCATGACCTGAGCTGAAGGCAGACGCTCAACGACTGAGCCACCCAGGTGCCCCTACAAATTGTTTAAGTATTGAGAAAGTTTTGCTTTTTAAGTCAGGTATCTGAAGTCCTTGAATAAAAATTAATACATTCAAATTACAAATACAAATTTTTAAAAGATTCTATTCATTTATTTGAGAGAGAAAAAAAGAGAGCATGAGCAGGGGCAGGGATGGGGAGCATGGGGAAAGGGAGAAGCAGACTCCCCACTGAGCAGGGAGCCCAATGTGGGGTTTGATCCCGGGACTCCAGGATCATGACCTGAGCTGAAGGCAGATGCTTAACTGACTGAGCCACTCAGAAGACCCTATAAATATAATTTTAAATTAAGGGAATTTAAACAAGTTTTTTTTTTTTAAGACTTATTTATTTTAGAGAAAGAGAGCATGTGTGCACATGCGGGGGGGGAGGGGTAGAGGGAAGGAGAGAATCCCAAGCAGACTCCATGTCAGTCTCCATCCCACGACCCTGAGATCACAACCTGAGTGGAAACCAAGACTTTGAACTTTGAAATGTAGCTAAGGCATTTAGTCCTTTCGATTTGAGTTGTTATAGAATAAAACGGTAAGTTTATAAAATAAGATTTTTTTTTAGGTTGAATTTAAAGGCTTAAAAAACATAAGGTTATAAAATGCTACTTTAAGAAACCTGGACCATTCCCAGGATTTCTAAATAGGTAGTTAATGAAGAGTTACGCAGTCACGTTAAGTTGCAATGCAGTTTCATGCAGTAATTGAAATGCTCAATTCCAACATAATAATCAAAACTTTCAACTTGATTTAACTTTGGGGATTGTCCTCTGCTCCAAGCTCTGGCTCACTGCAAATAAGAAGCCTCTTGTCATGGAATGGGGTTCTACTCTTCTCTTTCTTTAGATACGAGAGTACCTTACATTCTGGCTAAACATAGTTTTTGAACACTACAGCATTAGAGCAAAATGGTGAAAGAAAGGAAAACAAAAATACTTCATGAACATTACCAAATGAGACTCTCATACGTGTTCTTTGGGTTCAAAACCCCACATTACTGGGAATCATCACCTCAAGTTCCCTTTATCTCTATTTCATCTTCCTTCATTAGAAGAAAGATCCTTAGTCCCTCCTTGGAAACTGGTAATATCCAGCTTTTATTTGCTGAGATCTATTTAAAACCACCACCCCTACTTCCATCCTCTACTCCCACAGG